CAGTGTAAAGTAAATTATGGTAGGGTAGAATGGAGTACTTTTTTTGAAAAATTTTCAACTTTAACGTGACCTTAGAATACTCCACCCCAAACTTGACCTTCTAACTCTTACCCCAACCCTACTTTACAAACCGTTCAATGTTCAATCGCTTATGATTAAACCAGTCGAACCATCGCTTCATAATGAGTAAAGGACCTTGAGGAAACGGTCTTCAACAATTCCAGAGTTATTTTTTATAAACATGAATTTAAGTTGAACTTTCGTAACCTTTTCTTTACTTTTTCGACTACTTTTCGGATAAGTAATGACACCAAAAAAAACTGAAAAATGGAGGCGGGGCTTCAGGGTTGCGCAATCCGATTTCCGCCGAAAAATGGGGTAGTTTTGAGAAGCTCGCGAGGTGAGTAATATATTGGCAGGGGATTAAGAAAAGGTGGTAATATTCTGGATTTGTTTATGTTGTACTAGGGTAAATCTTTTTTTTTGGGGGGGAGGGGAAAGGAGGGTGAAGGAAGTGGAGAGCAGGGAAAGGAGGGCGTGGGTGACAGTGAGGGAAGAGAGGGAGAATGAGGAGGGGAGAAGGATAAGAAAACTTTAAAGAAAGAGAGGGGTGTTTGGCCAAGCCTGAAGTCATTTTTTAAAATTTTTTTAATTTTTTTATTAACGTATAGACTTAGATACACCTTTTTTAAATTTTTTTTGGGTAAGGACTTCACATCCCCCCCCCTCCCTGTTTTTCTTCTTATATGCTTTTGATCTTTGCTTTAAGCTTTTTATTTTAAAATCAGCCTTACCTTTTTTTAAAACTTACTTTTATCTTTAAACTGAAATCCTATTTACTTATTTGAAAGGACTGGAATCGTATTTTACCATTCTGTGACATTACGTAAATCTCATTCAAATCCCTCCAGACTTGGTGTCTAGTAACCGCGCGAAACTTTCCTTAAAACAACGAAATTTATGAGCCATGACTTTCACCTTGTTTTTCCATTTCCGTCAATGTTATTACACCGGTTCAGGTAAATATTATTGTTTTTTCGTTTCATACCGTCTATGAGGAATGAACATGATTTTTTTTTGAAAAATTAAAAAAATTTTTGAATTTTTTATTTTAAGTATGTTACCACTAGATTTGTAAAAGTCGAACTGAAGCAACTTTGAAACCTAAGCGTCCTTAAAGCTTTTATTTACTCCCGGCAGCCGGACTCGTACGATCTGTCCTAGATCAGCCCCTTTTAGGTTGATTTTAGTCAAGATTTCACGGCCTTCTCTTATCATTCCATGTCCACCATTGCCTTGTCCAGCTCTCTGTTCTTGCAGGTTTAGCTAGCCTTCAAAATATATATATTAGATGCCGACATAAAGAACCCGCCATAGCTTTCCTGTAATTTTCTGTAAAAAATGGCGGCTTCTTTATGTCGGCACCTAATTTTTCAGATAAAGTTGTCGTTTTAGGACAGAAAAGAACTAGTGATAAGAGGAAAAAAATGAAATTTTTAACTATTTTAGGCTCATCCTAGATGCCTGTAAAACCTAATTTTTCTTTCAATGAACAAGTTTTTTTGAAGCCTTTATATTGCCCCTTCGTGCTGCTCAGTAATTATAACGCGTACTTTAATAAATTTTCACTCTTATCCCTTTAACGTTTTTCGTGTTATATTATAAATCAAATGTTTGCTTTCCGTATTTTACCTTTTCTTTATATTAAAATTCTTGATTTTCAAATTTTCAGCCTTTTATCAGCTGAGATGACCGATTTGTTCGGTCTGAGGCCGTTCACTATATTATTATGTATATTGTCGATAGTAACAGTACCAGTGCGGTCAGCTTCATTACATGGCAAACCTCCAAAAGACATAGGTAGGTTTTTTTTTTATTTTTTCGTTTTTTGTAAAAAATTTATTTTGTTTATATATTTCTGTAAACAAAGGCGATATAGACATTTTAAAAAAGTTTATAGGTTAGTTTATTCAAAAAGGTTAATATGAGAAGCCATTAGGTAATCGGTGGTTGAACGTTAACGGTCAATTATAATATCTATTGTTTGGTCTGTGTTAGACCATTGATCAAAGTGTACCCGTATTTTACAAAAATAACAATTTTCTGAGTTATTTTTTAAAATATATACTATACAAAGCATAAAAAGCAAAAAAAACTTTATAGTTACACATAGTTAAGCGAATCAAAAATGAGTCATATTTTACTCATAAAACTTTAGAAAACTAATTTTTAAAGAGAAACAAAAAACTTGTATATTTTTAAACTAGGCTTTTATGAGAGACATAGCTGGGTGGGTAACTTAAACATGGAAAAAAAATTTCTCTTTCTTTTTCTATATCAACATCAAACTTGCTCTGCATTGCCAATGGACCTTACCAGAGCTTCGAAGGGTTCAGGAGCTGGCTTTAGCGTAGGTACAGCTACAGCAGAGCAGAAGGCCGAGTTAAAATTGAAAAAAAAACAGAGCCGGAGCTGAAGCTAACTTAGAAATGTTGAATTTTATTACGCAAGACCGTCGGAACCAGTACGAAGTTGGCTCTGGAGCTGGAACTGGTATCAACATTAAAAAAAAGAGCCGGAGCTAAAACGGGGCCAGAGCTGGAGCCGAAGTTTAAACCGAATGCTTTAATTTTAAATTTCGGAACTTTGGTCATTGACTCCCTTCTCTTTTCCATAATTTAAAGTAGTGTTTATAAATTTGAATATAAATTACTATTAACCCATTCACGGCTGTCCATCGTTCCTTTTAATGTCGTTACTTTATTTACTTCCATTTTTTTTCTCTCAAAACATTCCTTCTGTTCATCTGAAGGTCACTGTCCATTCTCGAGAGAAAGTTGTGAAAGGAACGGTAAAGTACAGTCGAATTATTGATTCGGGTCAAGTGTTGTATTGAAATTTAGTCGCCAAATTTGAATTGTAAAAGTGTTTTCTGTGGAATGCAGAAGGTTAACTTAAAGGGCAGGGTAATTTAAAAATTAGTTGTTTATAGGGCCGGGTAGCTCTAAGGTTAATTGTTTATAGAGCAGGGTAACCTTGTGGTTAGGTTTTAAAGGGTAGGGTAGACTTAAAGGTAATAGTTTAAAAGACAGAGTAACTTTATAGTTAATTATTTGAAGGGCAGGGTAATCGTAAACTTAATTGTTCAAAGGGCATGACAACCCTAAACCGCGAAATTGAAAAGGGCAAGAAACATTAAAAAGTCATTCTAAAGGGCAGGGTAACCTTAACTTTGAGTTTTTTAAACAGTAAATTAATTTGTAAATTAGACAAAGGTTGCACTTTAAGTAATGGGTATACCGAATTTTTGAAAGTTTCAGTTATTCTGTTATTTTTAGGCTTGAACTAAACATTTTAGGCTTAAAATTCCATAAATCAAGAAAAAAATTTTACATCAATATTATAATCACATATGTACATAACATTAATACAGGAAAAACTCAAAAATGTTGAATATTCATCATTTTTGGTTTTATCAGGCTTTTCGTGCTGGGACCCGAAAATATTTTCGATTTTTGCATTTTTTAAACTTTGAAATTTTTTGGCTTTAAAATTTAAAAATTTGCGATTTTTAAATTTCAAAAAGTAAAAAAAATGAGCATTAAATGTATAATATAGTAAAATAAGTTGCCAACATCCAGTTTAAAAAAGCAAACAATTGTTTCAAGCAATTGATATAAAGGTGATTAATCATCACTTATCACTTCCAAATACGTTTATTTTTTGCAATTTTTTGTTTGAACTTCTGCGAAGTCACACTTTGATGATAAAAGCTTTTGTTTCGAGAATTAAATAAACCTTGAAGGCTTATCAACCTATCATGAGATTAAGCAAGTTCTCAGAGCTTTGAAAGTGCGATTTAGGTCAAGAATATTTGTATTTTACCATGTAAATAATAAAAAATATAAACTTAAAAAAAATTTTTTTTAATTTTAAAATTTTTTTAAATTTAAAAGTTTTTAAAAATTTTTTAAAATTACATTTTTTCACCTTACAGTACTCTAATTGTTATGTTACTTTGTTTTTATTTCAAAAAACTAACAAAAAATGTAAATTTCCGCAACATACGATAAGATCAGATTAGATAGACGTAACCTTACACAGTAAAACACAAGTAAAGAAGATATAAAAAAAGATTGCTCCTGAATTCGAATAAAATTGAGTTAAGCGGTCAAGGTTAATTAAGCTCACCATTGGAATGCCTTGATTCCAAATTGAAATTTCAGGCTAATGGGCTTGTTGATACCTATACAAGCTGAAATTTAAAGAATGCGTTTTACAGTGCAATCTCCCTCCTGTATAATTAAATTTAACTTTGGCGTTATTGATGAAGTTTTGATGCCAATAATACACTTTTGGTACTATTACTTCAATTTTGGGCTCATTAAGACACCTTTGGTACTATTAGTCGAATATTGAGGTTATTAATACAAGTTTAGTACCACTAACACACTTTTGGTACCATTGATTCAAGTTTGGTACCATTGATACAATTTTAGTACCATTGATTCAATTTTGGTACTATTGATACAATTTTGGTATCATTAACACACTTTTGGTACCATTGATTCAATTGTAATACCATTGAGACTATTGTGGTGCCATTGATACAATTTTGGTACCATTAACACTATTTTGATGCCATTAGCCCACTTTTTGCCAAACCAAGTCGCAAACGTATCAAAAAAATCCTTGTCGTTTTCCAGTGCTAAAACTAACTATTGACGACAAGACATCAGACGTGTCCCGACGGCCGCCCCCCAGCCCGGCTAGTCGATGGCGGGGGTACCGAGGCGCCGTTTGTTCCCACCTTCTCACAACGTCCATAGTACATTCTTCATGGCCTCAATTTGCGCGTGGTTTGTGAAGGAGGTCCCGACGAGGGAGTGAGGTTTGGTGACGTCCACTAGGCTCACCGGACGGTTTGTCTTCATCGCTCGTTGGACCGCTGGATGTGGCACCGTTGTCCCCCGATAGCCGATCACTCCATAATATGACGCTTAGCTTATAAGAACAGCCAGTGGCCTCGAGAAGCGGTATGTGAATTTTAGTGCCGCTTTTGAGGTGCGATCATCCTTCTCCATGTGTGTGAGTACCGACAGTTCTCCATACCGACGTATGGTGGCGAGGCTGTTGTCAGAGCAGCTCAGCAGCTGCATCTTGTCGCCACACGCGACCACCCGAAACACTTGTCGAAACGATCTCATTACCGTGATTGCCGCTGAGGTTGAAACCACACCCGCCTCGTCTAAGCAGAGTAGGTCGATTTCTAGGTTCAACTTGGTCAATGTTGACGCGATGAGACTCGTGGTGCCGAGCAGAATGAGGGGTCGATCAGCCACCTTCAGTGCTTCGCGGGCAATTAGCATTCTGGGCAACCTTCCGTTCCTGTGCAGGGCGTCTTTGTCGATTATGCAAAAACGCAGAATTCTCTTTGAAATTTAGCAGAATTACGGCCTAACGTTTCGTTATCCCTTGAATGATCGTTCTTCTAGCCTTTAATACGGCCAAACCGGACGAAAAGGCAGACCGTCTCTCTTCTGTACGGCGTCTCTTCGGCCCTTCTTGGCCGCTAAGGAATGTGGCCAGGCAGGCCAACCCCCGCTTCCCGTGGCCGTCGCCACTGATCGCGAGATAAGGACACAACGCATCAAAAATTGTTGCGTTCTTTGTATCCTTAATCTCTACTCTTTAACGTGCCATTAGTTATTAAATTTTAAAATTTTGAGAAAACTAATTATTTTTTGTTATAAAATATTGTTTTTGAAACACTTTTAGCTATAGCCATAAAATTAGTAAACATTTCTTTTGCTTTTTTGCTAAACATAACTTTTTACAACCTTGACGATAGTGTTTTACACTGTTTACTCGGAAACTGCTAACTGGTTTTATCTTTGATAAAGAATCTTTGAAAGAAAAGGTTTTAAACTGTTTTGGAATGTAAAATACGGCCCAACACTTTTAACAATTATGAAAAAAAAATTAAAAAAATTTTTAAAATTTAAAAATTTGAAAAAAAAAAATTAATTTTATTTGCAAAATACGAATGAGTCAAAATTCAGACCAATGATAACGTAAATTAATAATAATACAGTAGAAGCCATGTATAACAAACAATTTCAGACTGCCCAGCCAACAACCTATACGCGGCCATAGGCGACAAATCAGCGGCCGAATCCTCAAATTGGCTTCGAATCGACTGGAAAGCCTCGAGCATTGAAGAGTGTGCTCGGTCCTGTTATGAATACAGATTCTGCTACTCAATCTTATTCGATGAGACCAGTAGGAGACCATGTACCTTCTTTTTACATGTCACTGCTCAATGTGGACAACGAGAGTTGAAGCCGGTCAGTGAGTTGAGCAGCCAGAAGAACGGCCTCATCGAGTGCTTCCGATGCGTCGGTGATGAGGAAGTTGGTAAGGATGGGTTTTAGGAGGGCAAAATGTCAATACCGGGCGAGTTATTATAGCCTGGGGAGTAGGAGATTCATATTTACAATAAGAGGGGGGGGAGGAGAGGGGGGAGAGGGAAATAGGGAAATAAAGAGAGGGGGGGGGGGGGGGGAGGAGAGGCTATAAATAATTTTTTTTGAAAAAATGAAAGAACGGTAAAGTACGTTGAACTATGTGAACGAGTCCTCCCACCCTCTTTCCTATATCTTCCTTGTTTATCCCTTCTTTATTCAGCCCAAGGCGTAGTTATAAAGTTGTTTAACTAATTCTGTGCCTTCTAGTCCCAAGAATTTGCTTTGAGAAGGGGCACAGAATTATTTGAACTAACTAAAAGTATATAATAAAAATTGTCAGAAATTTTGCTAAAATACGACTGACCAACTTCAAAATTAAAAAATTTATTTTTTCAGGAAAATCACCAAAAGGCTTAGACTACATTAAGCGTCATCATTCCGGTGGTACTCGTAAGTTTTTAAAATTTTAAAATTTTTGAATTTTTTGTATATCAGATAGACAATTTTTTATTTGTAAAATACGCATTGCGTTTTCGTTCGCGTTCAGTCTTAAACAACGTTTTCCAGGCCTAGAATTCCACTCTGATGCCCCAGCCACCACTCAAGCCCCACGACCTTCTCCACCCAACGGTCCATCTTATGCTTCATGTACTGTAGTCTATCAAGTACATGAAGACGTTCAATCTCTTGGTTGGAGCACTAGCCATGAAGTTTCTGTTGCTAGGTAAGCACCATTATAGACCGGTAAAGTTTTGTAACAGTACTTGTGGCGCACCCTGTAAATACCGTTAAGTACCATTTATTAAAAATTTCAAATTTCAGTGTTAGAGAATGTGGATTCATTTGCTACCAAAGTGGCTGTACTAGTGCCATTTTTGAGCCGAAAAGCTTGGGCGCAGTGTGCAAAATGGCGTTTAGACAACATGAAAACTGTGGTGGAGTCAGTCGATGGGATTTTAAGTATCAACAAGGTCAAACTGTTGGTATTAGCTGCTTCAGATGTTGTGAGTTATAATTTCGTCACAAAATTTCATGTTTTAAGCCTATTTTTCTTAATTTTAGCCATTATATCTAATAAAAAAACGTAATTTTTCTTTAACATTTCAGCTCCAAAAGGACCCCCACCACATGTAGGACAAGAGCCAGCAACCACTCCAACTACTACAACAACAAAAATTGCCGAATCTATCGATGAAAAGCCAAAAACCAAAGATTCAAAGACGGAACACGCGGAAGAGAATGGCAGTAAGTTAACCGTTTATATTGAAAAGTATATCTTAATATATGAAAAAGTATCTTATCATAACAAAAAGTGTCTTAATGTATCAAAAAGTATATATTAACATACCAAAAAGTATTTTAATATATCAAAATCGTGTTTTTAAACGGCAATTTAGACTCAGTTACGTTAATATTAGGCTGTTCAAATAATTCTGAGCGACTTTCAAAGCAAATTTTTGAAGTTAAGTGGCATATAACTATTTTAACAACTCAATATTATGATAGGTGTACAAACAAAAATTAAAAAAAACATGTTTTACTTGTTTTATCCCAAAAATGTTTGAAGACAAGGCTTTTGAAAAGGCTGTTTTTGATATTATCATTGGTTTTTTACAACAAAAACATCAATTTTATACTTTTAGCGGTATAACATAACATTTTTGTCCTTAAACTGACCTTTTGCAGCACTAAAGTAGTGTTTTTATGTCGTATACCTTAACTTTGGTTCAATAAGCCTAACATAATCTTAAAACTATTAGGTTCAAATAATTTTGTGCTCCTTTTTAAAGAAAATCTTAAGGGTTTCGTGGAGAGGGGGACAAAATTTAGTGAACAACCTAATAAGCCTAAGATACTCTTTGCAAACCCAAGAGCCTAATTTCTAAACTTATAAGCCTACAATTACTTTTTTTGCAAGCCTATAAGTCTAAACATACCCTTTCTAAGCCTATAAGCCTCATATTCTTTTTTTCGAACCCATACAACTAATATACTCTTTCTGAACCCATAAGCCTAATACACCTCTCCTAAACCATTTTACATAACAAGCCAGTAATACTCTTCCCAGCCCCACAATCCTATTTTACAATACCTAAACCCATCTAGTTGTAGATTGCGTAGTAAGTTACCAAGCCGACTTCATGTCCGAACGTCCATCCTCTTTCAACGGCGACTTCAACGTCTCAATCACGACCGAATCTGCCGATGAATGTGCCCAACTTTGCTATCAAAATGGTTGTACTGGCGCTGCCTATACGGTCGGATCAAAGGAATGTAAGATGGGTATAGCTGACAGTCATTTCTGCGCTGATGGAGGTGTCATTACCCATTATGTGCCTGAATCTGAGGATGAAGAAGTTTGGATTCATTGCTTTGCTTGTCGTAAGTTAAAGAATTGATTTGTGGCGTATTTTAGAATTACAGTACTAGTTAGTATCAATATGGTGCTTTACGGTACAATATTTTGTTATTATAGTATTAATATAAAATGTTATCGTATATGATAGTACCAACAAATATTTGTCTCATTTTTTGAAAATTTGTTTTGAAAGAAGGCGCAGAATTAAGTGAACGACCTAAAATCATTTCAGAGTTCAAGCACAAACAATTCGCCAAAGAGCAAGTTGGCCTAAACAAGCCTAAGCGCCCAACTCCAGTAGCACGTGATGAAACTACTGTAGCCCCAACTACAGAAGGCAAAATCCCAGAAGCAGAAGAAAACAACGATGTGACAACAGCCCCTTCTGAAGTTACTGAAAAGATCGAAGCTACGACCCCTTCTGATGCTGCTACAAGCTCTGTCGATACTGAGAAACGCAGCACCGTGATCGCTTCCGACACCACCGTAGCTGAAGCCAAAGAGACTACTGTGGCTGCTACTGAAGCCGAGACTAAAGAAACTACGGTAGCTGCTGTTGAGACTACGGTAGAAGTGACGACAGTAGCTGCGGTTGAGGAAACTACTGTAGTACCTACTACAGTCGCTTTAGTAGAAGAAACTACGGTCGTACATACAACTGTAGCGGCTGAAGAGACTACTGTAGTACCTACCACCGTAACGACAGCTGAAGAAACTACAGTAGTACCTACAACTACAATACCAGAAGTTACTACCGTTGCTGAAGCTACAGAAGCTACTACTGTTGCCGAAAACAACGACGAAACTACTGTAGCCACAGAGAAGGCCGAAGAAACTACTGTAGCCCAAAATACAGCTGAGCCAGTTTCAGCCGGTCCAGTGCCAGAAAGCGAAACCGAAGAGCCAGCTAAATCTACAGGAGCTGAAACTACGGTAGAAGCAGTCACTATCACAGCTGGAACTGCCAACGAAGGACAAACTGAATCAACCGTAGCCCCAACTACTGAAATGCCAACTACCGTAGCCGCTGAAACAACTGTCGAAGCCGTTACCGTAACAGCTGGAAATGCCAATGAAGGCCAAACAGAAACTACGCCCGCTCCAACAACTGTAGCTGAATCAAATGATGAAACTACCGTTGAAGTCGTTACGGCAACCGCTGGAACAGCCAACGAAGGTCAGACTGAATCTCCTGCTCCAGTCATCACAGAAGCCCCAACTACCGTCGTTGCTGAAACCACGGTTGAAGCTGTCACAATAACTGCCGGTAACGCTAACGAAGGCCTAACTGAAACTACTGTAGCCCCAACCACTGAAGCTCAACAGACTACGGTAGCTGCTACAGAAGCAGTTAAAACCACCGTCGCAGCTGTGACCGTAGAAGCCGGTACAGCTAATGAAGGTCAGACTGAATCCACGGCCGCTCCAACTACAGAAATCCCAACTACTGTAGCAGCTGAAACCACGGTAGAAGACGTTACGGTAACAGCTGGAAAAGCCAACGAAGGACAAACTGAAACTACAGTAGCGCCAACCACTGTAGCTGAATCTAACGATGAAACTACAGTTGAGAATGTAGCAACAACTTCTGGACCAACTGAAGCTGTACCGTCCGTTACAGTAACTGCAGGTAACGCTAATGAAGGTCAGACCGAAACAACTGTAGTACCAACTGAGGCAGCTGTACAAACTACGGTAGCTGCTATGGAGGCTGCTGAAACTACAGTAGAAGCGGTTACTGTTGAAGCTGGAACTGCTAATGAAGGCCAGACTGAAACCACTGTAGCTCCGACAACTGAAGCTGGACAAACTACTGTGGCTCTTACCGAAGCCGCAGAAACTACCGTACAAGGTGTTACAATCACAGCTGGTACAGCTAACGAAGGCCAGACTGAAACAACGGCTGCTCCAACTACAGTAGCTGAATCTCACGATGACACTACAGTTGAAGCAATCACCGTAACAGCTGGCAATGCCAATGAAGGCCAGACAGAAACCACTGTAGCCCCAACCACTGAAGTTCCAATCGCTGCTGAAACAACCGTGGAAGAGGTTACAGTAACTGCGGGTAACGCTAATGAAAGCCAAAAAGAAACTACAGTAGCCCCAACAACTGAAGCTGAACAGACTACGGTAGCTACCACAGAAGCTGTTGAAACCACCGTCGCAGCTGTTACAGTAGAAGCTGGCACAGCTAACGAAGGGCAGACTGAATCAACTACAGCTCCAACTACAGAAATCCCAACTACCGTAGCAGCTGAAACGACCGTTGAAGCCGTTACAGTAACTGCAGGTAATGCTAATGAAGGCCAAACTGAAACAACGGTCGCTCCAAACACTGTAGCCGAATCTAATGACGAGACCACAGCCCAAGCTACTACTGCCGAAGCTGTACCAGTTACAGCTGGCTCAGCCAACGAAGGACAAACTGAAACCACTGTCGCACCAACTACTGAATCCGCTACAACTGTAGAAGCCGAAGCTACGACAGAAAAGGTAGTAGTAATTACAACTTCTGAGCCTGACGCTGAAAAAGTTACCGTAGCTCCAGTGAACCAACAGGCTAAAGAAGCCACGACAGAAGCCGTTGTGCCAACAACTGAATTAGCTGAAGCTACTACAGAAGCTAAAGTTGAAGGTACTGAAAAGGTAGAGGTCGCTCAATCTAATGATGAGGCTACTGAAGCTATGACCGTGAATGTTCAACGTGATGAAACTGTAGCTCCCACTGAAGCTGTCGAAACAACCGTAATTCCAACAAAAGCTGCTGAACCAACAACTGTAGCGGCGACAGAAGCCGTGGAAACCACGGTAGCAGCCGTTACAGTTGAAGCCGAAAATGCTAATGAAGGTCAGGCTGAAACTACCGTAGCTCCAACAACTGAAGCTGAACAAACTACTGTAGCTGCTACAGAAGCTGTTGAAAATACCGTCGCAGCTGTGACCGTAGAAGCCGGAACAGCTAATGAAGGCCAGACAGAGACCACTGTAACCTCAACGACAGAAGCTCCAACAACAGTAGCCGCTGAAACAACCGTTGAAGCCGTTACAGTAACTGTAAGTAACGCTAACGAAGGTCAGACTGAACCTACTGAAGCTATACAAACTACAGTGGCTGCTACAGAACCCGCTGAAACTACCGTCGCAGCCGTTACAGTAGAAGCTGGCAACGCTAATGAAGGCCAAACCAAAACAACGGTCGCTCCAACCACTGTAGCTGCATCAAACGACGAGACCACAGCCCAGGCTACTACTGTCGAGTCTGTACCAGTGACAGCTGGCTCAGCAAATGAAGGTCAAACTGAAACCACTGTTGTACCAACTACTGAAGCCCCGACCACACCAGATGCTAAAACTACAGTTGAAGCCGTGACGATACCAGCTGGAACAGCTAATGAAGGCCAGACGGAGACCACCGTCGAAGCCAGTGAAGCTCAAACAACTGTTCTTGCAACAAAAGCCCAAGAGACAACCGAAATTGTAACTACAACAACATCAGCACCTTCTACGGTGCCAACTGATGTTATGATCAATGAAATCACTGATAAGATCGTAACCACAGAAGTTCCTGTGATTGAAACTACTGTGGCTCAACAACAAGATGAAGAAAAGGCAACGGAAGCCAAGGTAGAAGAGACTACCGTAGCGGCTACAGAGGCTAAGGCTGAAGAAACCACCGTAGCGGCAACAGAAACCACCGCTGAAGAAACTACAGCAGCAGCTGCAGAAGCCACAACTGAAGCCGCTCAAGCGACCACTGAAGCCATCGCTGTAACTGAACCTCAAATCGAAGTCGTCAACAAGGCTACTAAAGCGGCTGAAGTCGTAACTGAAGGAGCTAAAGCTACCGACTCTCTAGAAGTCACAACTGAAGCTGCCAAAGCTACAGAAGCTGCTGAAGCCAAAGACGCTGAAGCCACAACCGTTTCCGAATTCGAAGCCGTTAACAAACAAGATGAAGCCGCTGTAGCTTCTGAATCCCCAGAAGAAGCTACTACTGTCCAGGATGTTGTAGTTGAGACTACTGAAGCTGTTCAGGTAACTGAAGCTGCTCAGGTAACTGAAGCCGTTAAAGACGTCGAAGCTACAACTGAAGCTTCTGTAGAAGAAAAAACAGAAGCCCTAACAACTGTTGAAGCTTCTGAAACAACTGTAGCCCCAGTAACAGTGCCAGCCGGAACAGCGAACGAAGGAGAAGTGATCCCTACAGAAGCTACCACATCAGAAGCCTCAGCCACCACAGCGGCGACTATTCACGAAGTCACCGCTGGACACGATGTGATTGAAGCTATCAACACGGCAACTCCAGCAGCTGCAGCTGATACTGAAGCCCCAGTAGTGAAAATCACTGAAGCTCCAGCTGAAGCGAACGAAGAGGCATCTGAAGCCGCTGCAACCACTGAATCTAAAAAATTAGAAGCTACAACAGCTTTACCCGAATCCGTAGCTACCGTGCAGTCGGAAAAGCCAGCCGAAGCTGAAGTAGAATCTCAAGAAGAAGCTAAACCAACAACTGCAGCCGTTGTGGAGGCCGCCGCTCCAGAAGTCACCACTCAAGGTGGTATTCCAGAAGCCGAGACCACCGTGGAAGAAGGAATCGCTGCTAAGATTACAAAGCAAGCCAGCAAATCTACTGGAACCACAGAATCTCCAGCCTTCATTACTGAAGCTCCAGGAGTGACAGAAGCCAGTGTAGAAAAGACTACTGACGCCAGCGTAGAAGTCATTACAGCCCACAGTGCTGAAGCAACAACAGAAGCTGTTAAAGTTAGTGCTGAAGTCACCACTGAAGCAGTGAAGGCCAACGATGAAGCCACAACTGAAGCTGCCGTAGAATCCAAGGTCAGTAATGAAGTCACAACTCCAGAAGCTGAAACTACAGTGGCTGTTGTTGAGACTACTGTAGTCTCAGTAGAATCCACTGTAGCTCCAACAACTGAAAAACCAGTAGCAATCGAAGCTCATGAAGTTACACAAGCTGTGATTCAAGAGAACGTTGACGCTGAAGGCACCGTGGCTCCAGTAAAAGAGGCTACTGTAGCTTCTGTTGAAGATACTGCAGAAAAAGTAACCTCAGCTCCAGTAGAAGCTACTCAAGCCCCAGTAGCCCAAGAAGCCGCTTCAGAAGGCACGTCAGCTTCAGTAGTAGTTACGGAAGTCCAAGAAGCTACAACAGCATCAGTCGCTTCTGAATCAACCGCAGCTCCTGTAGCCAATGAAGCCGCTCCAGAAGCTAATGAATTCACACATGAACCCACCGAAGCTCCAGTAAAAGTAACTGAAGCCCCAGCTGTAGAAGCAACATCAACAGCTGAAACAACTTCGGAAGCCACGACCACAGTAGCTCCAGAAGTCACAACAGTAGCTCAAATAGAAACAACAATATCAGAAGGTTCTGGCGAAGAAGAAGCAACAGTTTTAGCTACAACAACTTCTGTAGAATCAGAAGAAAAAGTGACATCAACAACAACATCACCTTCAGAATCAACTACACAAAACGCCGAATCCACGACGGGAAATTTGGCTTCAAGCACATCATCTCCAGAAGTCACGACGCATGAAAGGCTGGTTAGACACCGTGAACTTGATGAACATAACGAACAAAAACGATCTGGAGGCTTCTTCTCCTTCTTGAACCGGTTCTTCTGAAAGCAATAGTCCTATAACTTCCAATTAAAACACGTTGAAACGGTTTAATCTGATGTAAAAAGATAACTCATACATCAACAAAACCATTTTCAAGATGTCAAAATATTTTTCCACTTCAAAAACCTTAACTTTTCTATATTATCTATAACACTTCTGCCAATCTTCCTATATCAAACTTTCTGGTGCTGACATTATCATTTACAATCTCGTGAAACCCCAATTCTTGCTCGTTTATATACGAAGCTAATCTGCATATAATGTACTAGCCATATTTGTAACAATCAAACGAGTTCCGGCCACTTTTCTAACACCAACCCTATATTATAGTAGGTATCTTCTCTCAGCTCAATGTAATCTCATTTCCATGACTCGGAGACTAATTCTAACAAATTTTTATTACTTTATGACTTGTCTTTCTAAATTGTATACCAATTTACCGGATATTTTTATATTTTTATTATTCCATTAAAAATTAAAAATTAATATTATCCATGATAATAACATGGATTGTTGAACGAAACACTCATTTTTTCAAATGTAAACCAACAGAAAGTCGTAAAGGAGAAAAAAATTTGTTAGATTAAACTGTTTACAAGTCTTTTTAACCTAAAATACGGTGTTTTCTAAAGTAACAACCATAACAAACCAGTTATAACGTATCTATCGTCTTCTAAACTGCCATTACCTAGTAATCTATAAATCTTTCCAATTGTTGTGTAATAAATTTATAAAAAAATACTCGGAAAACTTAGTAAAATACACGATAGCAACATAAAATTACAGTAACAATAAAAACCCGCAAAGTTTATAAAACAAACTAAAATCAATTGGCCCTGCAACGAAAACAATTGTTGGCGTTGTGTGGTAACGCGTCGCATTTAGAATTTCGAACAAAATTTCAGAATTTTACGAAGTTCCGGTGTTGTGTGTACGATAACTGTTTATATTTTACTAATATTTTGCTCTAATTACTTAATTCTTAATAATATAATAACTATGGACTCTGGATATTCACATTCTCACAACTATTCAATGGATTTGAATCCGATCGAAAGTTGTAAGTTATTGTTTACTGTCTTCTGAGGTTAAAGATAAGATGTTTTTATGTTTTTTGAAGCGATATTATTAGTTTGGATGTTATTGGGAGCTTTTTAAGATGGTTAACATTGACAAAAATATTGTCTTAGACTTGAGTATTGAAAGCAGTGTTTAATATTGTTAAAATAGGAATTTTTAGCTGATATTAGGCATGTTTAACGTGTCTACTATAGTTAAGCTGTACACAAAAAATCAGCGTTAAATTAGATTTTAAAATATCTTTTTTTGCTATCTGTGTAAAGATTGTCTACAACAATATGCTTTCAGTGCCCAAACCTCGAAATGGCTCGTTTTACACGTGGGACGAGCTGATGCTTTTCCGCCAGGGTCAACAGATGTATAGACGTCCCGCTCAACTGGTTCATCCACATCATTACGCTAGCGCTTATCTGCAACAAAGCGCCTCAAGTTCATCTAGTGCAATGTCAGCCAGTGCGATGTCGTCCAGTGCCATGGGAAGAACTATGTACTTTTACAATCAGTAAGAGTTTTAGGATGTTTTTACAAGATTCAAACGGGCATAATGGCTATGTTAACATCCGTTTCAAAGGTTTCTTTTCTATCATTTTAACATTTTCTCAAACTAATGTAGCATTCTTGTTTTTTGTAAGTTTTTGTATAATTCTAACTTGTTGTTGTTAACGTTTAAGTACTTTTGAAGTAAATGTTGTTGTTTTAACTTGGAATGAGCTTTTGAACATGTTCTTGACATTAACATACATTTTGAGTTAAATTTATTTTAACCTTGACAGTCAGGATAATGGATAATATAAATTTAGGTATAACTTTGTTTCTTCTCAATGAATTTATATGATTTTACATATAGTTAGAGAATAAAAATCATTCTTTATATTTTGTTTATATGTGACTAGATTTATATTGTTTTAGGTACGAATACCAAAAACATTAGGTCTACTTTAAAAACTTTAGATTATCTAGACACTTTTGTTTGAAATCACATGCAAAACTTCCCTAACATCAGTTTACTTTGACCTATAAAATTATACAACCGTTGTAGCCAGTTTGTGTTGCAAAACATCGAACACAACAAGAACGCGTCAGAAATGCCCACCCTATCACAAGAAACGGCTGGTCAAAGAGCATTCATTGCTTTTATTCTTCGGCGCTTTTTGTCAATAACACGAATATAAGATGTTTTTCAATACGAAAGGAAGGTTTATCTAGAACGTCTGCTTGTTTTTAAAAGTTTTTTGAGGGATTTTTGTCAAAATTTGTATTATTAGGCTTAAAATACTTAGGTAACAATATTATTTATATTGAAGTGGGAGAACTCTTGTTTTACTAACACGAACGTAAAAAAGTATTTGGAAGCTGTTTTTCGAAGGAAACAAAGTCCATCCACGTGTTTGAAGGCCGAAGAGTAGAGATTTGGACATTAGACTTGGTTTTGTCAAAATTTTATTGCTCTGTACTTCCAACTTTATCGAAAAGTGTGTTAGATGGTCTAAGAAAGACTAGTTTGTGGTCTGAATTGACTTTGCTTTATAAATATTATTTTTTTCTTTTAATTTTGAAGCTTTTGCGAAGGGCAACATCTAGAGGTTATGTATAATATTATCTTTAGGTTAAATTGTTGTTATAGCTGTGTATTGCTATGGTTTTTTGAAGGAAATTGTTAAAGCATTACTATACTTTCTTTTGTTAAAAATTTTGGAGTTTTTAAAAGGGTTTGGTTCAGAGTAATATAAAAAATGGTATTTTTTAGGTTAGAAGCCAATATATTGCGTTTATTCTTGTTTTTCTTTATGTTTTAGCTTATATTGGTGAAGTGTCCTTTGTTTTATTGTTTATATACATTCTAAACTTTGGATTGCAACAAGTTTGATAAGGTTTTCTGCGTTTTGTGAAGGATAACTTAACAAAACATAAAAACGTTCATTTGTGTTTACTTTTCTATGCTTAACATTTTTTAAAGGCCTTTACATTACTTTATAATGTCTTAAATATCTATTCGAATCTCTTTACTATCAAAAACAAGATGACCAGTTACCTTTTTTTATTAATCCTTACTCTATCAGTTTACTGATAAGCTAATAATCAGTAAAAAACGAAGTGATCGTCGTGTAAAACCAAAAAAATCTTTATCAGTTGAGTGTAATATAATGTTTGAGTGTTTTTAGATGTTGACCACCAGAAATATAATTCCTCGACTTTCAAAGGTCTTTCGTGGCTCAAGAACGTTAACTACCGGTGGTCAACGTGAATTCCGAGTTGATGAGGAAGGAGTTCAGCCACCAGCCTTGACTCAACTCAACGAGGAGGAGAATGCTTTGAAGGAGACTGGTGAGTTGGTTTTTAGGTGGTAAATGATGGATTTTGTATTGTTTGGGTATAGAATGAGTATTTATAAGGTTTTAGTTATAAAAATTAGTGGCATTAAGGTTTTAATGGTAATATCTGGACTTATATTAACATAGATTAATGTCTGCTCGTTTAGTAAAGAAGTTCTCGAACGATGTGATTAAGCCATTGGTCAGAGAGATGGACCAAAGCTCCAAAATGGACACGCGGGTCATTCAAGGCTGTTTTGATAATGGCGTAAGTTAAAAACTTGGTTCTTTGATGTGTTTTGTGATGTAAAGGTGTATCATCTATATTATACTTGATTGCCAAGGTACTTTAAGCTATGTTTTACTCAATATTTGATTTTTTAAGCTTATATTATATTAATATAATATGAGTACTATAATATAAGTATTACTATCGCTTTTCAGTTAATGGGTGTAGAAATCCCGGAAGAATTTGGCGGAGCTGGAGCGCCATTCTTCTCAGTAGTCCAGATCGTCGAGGAACTGGCCAAAGTGGACCCATCAGTCTCAGTTTTTGTAGACGTCCAAAACACACTAGTAGTACCACTAATCACTGAATATGGTACTCAAGCCCAAAAAGAAGCCTACCTGACTAGATTGCACAAGGACTGGATCGGCTGTTTCTGTTTAAGTGAAGCCGAATCTGGTTCCGACGCTTTTGCCTTAAAAACGACGGCTAAGCCAGATGGAGACGACTATCTTATTAATGGTACCAAATTGTGGATCACCAACTCTGGTCACGCCAATTTGTTCTTGGTTATGGCTAATGTGGACCCCTCTAAAGGTTACCGAGGCATTACCTGCTTCTTGGTCGAAGGCGATGCTAAGGGATTGAGTGTGGGACGACCCGAAGATAAGTTGGGCATCAGAGCGTCGTCAACGTGCCCGGTCAACTTTGACAACGTTAGAGTACCAAAGTCGGCTATTTTGGGAGAATTGGGCAAAGGTAGGGTAATATGATACATATCTTTTTGGGGCAGTTTTGGTAAATAACTTTAGTTAAAAGTGTTGATTTAGTGGTGTTTTGGTAAATGGTCATTGTTGGACAAGCTGAGTTATACTTTTTCAGATTTTTGAAATCTTTAAAATTAAAAAAAAAATTTTTTAAATTGAGCTTGGTCTCCCCCTGTTGTTTTTGAAATTTTAAAATTTTTTCAATATGTGATTTTAGGCTACAAAATGGCAATTGAATGCCTAAACGCGGGCCGTATTGGAATCGGCGCTCAAATGATTGGTCTAGCCGAGGGCTGCTTCGACCAAACCGTCCCATACCTACAAGAAAGAAAACAGTTTGGACAACGTCTCATCGACTTCCAAGGAATGCAACATCAAATCGCAGATGTAGCTACTGACATTGAAGCCGCTCGCTTAATGGTCTACAACGCTGCTCGTCTGAAGGGTACTAATCAGCCCTACATTAAGGAAGCCTGTATGGCTAAGCTGTATGCCTCGAACGTGGCCACAAAGGCCACTTCAAAGTGTGTCGAATGGCTTGGTGGAGTTGGATTCACAAAGGAGTTTCCAGTCGAAAAGTTCTACAGAGATTGTAAGATTGGTACTATCTATGAGGGTACCAGCAATGTTCAGTTGAATACTATTGCCAAGTTGATCGACAATGAGTTCAAGCAGTAAATGTTGGTTAGAGGGAGAAGAGAGTGAGGAACTCAGTGTATTTTAGTCAAACTTTGTTAATGTCGATGAGCGAAGAGTTTAAGCAGTGTTTGGGGGTTTTATAGGGTAGTATATGATTGGTTTTGAATGTAACTTAATGTTTTTATAGCAAATATTACAATGATGTGCCTTATTTTGATGTAAAAATAAATATTTTATTACCTAAAATGGTTGAACTTATTGATATTTGGTGTTTTGGCTACCTGTATTTGTTGTTTTTTTTTAATATTTTATGTTTTTCTTACCTAAAATGGTTGTTTCACTCTGAATTTGGTACTGATTGATACTGGAATGAAGATTTATATTAATATTTAATTTTTTTTGTTACCTAGAATTTTTGTTTCTACAGTATTTGGTACTGGTTGATATTTAAATCTTTTTTGAATTTTCTCGACATACGCTATGTTACAGTACAACGAAATAACGTGGGTTTTTACTGGACATTTTCACCGGAATAATCACAGAGTAATTGAGAATACTTGTCTGATTTTGTTCGTGGATGTTAACTACAATATCCACAAGTTTTTGCGCATTGAGTGGACATCATATTCATGTAGGTCTGAAAGTAATGGTTCTTAATAACTGTTTTAAGGCTTACATGGTAACATAGTCATTCATTTTTGAATTATTAGGCTGTTCAAAAAATACTGAGCCCCCCCCGTTATAAAGCAGATTTTTAGGGTTAGGGGCTCTGCATTATTTGAACAACCTAATGTTATAGTAAAAGCGATCAAGAACTCACATTATCCAAGCACAGGTCATACTTGGCCGGGCATTGTTTCATAGCATCACGACATTTCGAGTTCTCGTCTTCACAGTAATTACAGGTTTTGGCACATTGATCCTTCATCATTCGGGTGTAAACCGGCATGAAGCAGATTTTTTGGCGACCGAAACAATCGTTGTGGGTGTCGCGGCAACCTTAAATTTTTGAGTTATTATATATATATTTTGTATATTGTGTTAGGTGATCATAATTAAGTGAACGATTTAATATATATCATTCACAACTTTTTTATTTCAAATTTTTGGTTAATGGGCTGGTATTTAGAGTAGTTATTGCCTAGTAAAGGTATATAGGTGGTACGTATGGGTGTTTAGTGCCACTATGGTAATGTTCAGTTGGTTTTTTCTATTATAATACAACTTTTTAATTTAAAAAGATAAGAGTTATCATTTTAAAAAGACGGACTAACAGTATAATTTTGCTTACTTGACGTTGTTGTTGCTTTTGTAGTAGTAGTAGTTGTTGTTGTCGTCGTGGTCGTAGTCGTTGTTGTTGTAGTGGTAGTGGTAGTAGTAGTAGTTGTTGTTGTTGTGGTTGGTGTTGTCGTCGTGGTGGTGGTAGTAGTTGTAGTCGTGGGTGTAGTGGTCGTAGTAGTGGTTGTAGTGGTAGTAGGTGTTGTAGTGGTAGTAGTGGTTGTGGTGGTGGTGGGCGTAGTAGTAGTAGTTGTCGTTGTTGTAGTCGTAGTGGTAGTAGTAGTTGTCGTTGTAGTTGTGGTAGTCGTGGTAGGCGTGGTTGTTTTCGTCGTAGTTGTCGTTGTAGTAGTAGTAGTTGTTATTGTGGTTGGTGTTGTCGTCGTGGTGGTGGTAGTAGTTGTAGTCATGGGTGTAGTGGTCGTAGTAGTGGTTGTAGTGGTAGTAGGTGTTGTAGTGGTAGTAGTGGTAGTACTAGTGGTGGTAGGTTCAGTAGTAGTAGGCAATACCGTAGTGGGTTCAGTAGTAGCTCCAACTGTGGTCAAAGACTCAGTAGTAGAAGGCGAACTTCCAGTAGTGCTCAAGCCTTCAGTTGTACCAATACCGTCAGGAGTTGTAAAACTAGTAGAACCTGAAGGTGTTGTAGATCCAGCATCTTCATTTTCACATGGTTCTTCATCTGGATTCGGAGCTGTTTGACTGCCAGGAGGTACTGTGTTTTGAACACCAGGTTGAGAGCTAGGGTTTGCGGTGGTTTGACCATCAGGAGCTACTGTAGTTTGACCATTAGGTTGGGAGCTAGGGTTTACTGTAGGTTGACTAATAGGACCTTGAGAAGAGTTAGGGTCTGCTGTCGTCCCATCAGTTTGAGTCGTACTGCCACTGGTGGTTGAGTCAGCAGAGTTTGTAGTAGATTCTGGAGAGTCTTCACAAGCGTCTGAATGTAAACTTCTAGTAGAGATAAGGTATTTTTCGTTGTAAATCTTGTTATACACGAGGGATTGCATATATAATGTATAAGATAACTTTAAGCTATACAGATGTAAGGCCTAAGCTCACCATATAAAAATATAATGATATAAAATAAAAAATAATATACTTAAAATAACAAAGACTTGAGTAGAAATAATAATAATGGTCATATTGTTAAAGAATGGCAAATAAAACGTGGCTGGTGTAGTAAAATAAAGAAAAATAATTTAAAATTAAAAAAAAAACTGAACATTAGCGTAGCTACACATAACGATAGTACCTTTTATATCTTTACAATAAAAAAATAAAATTAGGTTGTTCAAATAATTCTGTGCCTTCTAACTAGAGACTTGACTTTTGTGCCGGTCCGGCTTAGCCGTTGATTTGGGCTGGGCCGCGATTGAGGAAAATTTATGCGGACCGGGTTTTAGGAGGGCTCGGCCAGGCCAGGCCTGAAGAAAAATGAAAACAGGCCCGGCCAAAAATCAGCCTGAACCAGCCCGAAAGCCAGGTCTACCTCTAACCTCAAAAATTCGCTTTATGAGAGGGCACAGAATTTGTTGACCAACAATGTTAACCTACCTGATGGTTCACTATCATCACTTCCAGGATCGCTAGGCTCGTCGTCCTTGGCTGGTGTAGTCTCAGCTTCAGTTGGAGCTTGAGTAGTATCATCTGGATTAGTAGTCGTAGCATTTGGATCAGTTGTACCAGTAGTACCATCCGGATTCGAAGTAGTACTACCACCGGGAGTCGTAGTCTCTGGAGCATCTTCATTGTCACAATCATCGCCATCTGGAGCTGCGCCATCAGCTGGTTTGTCATCGGAAGGCTTGGCGGTGGTTTGAGAGTTTGGAGCAGCTGTAGTGTCACCAGCGGCCGTAGTGTCTGCTGGATTGGTTGTAGCTGCTACGGTAGTGCCAGCTGTGGATTCTGTAGTCGGTACAGTTGTTGTGGCTTCTGTAGTGGTTGTACCAGCTTCGGTGGTGCTCGAGGATTCTGGGGAGGTTTGTGGTGGGTCTTCGTTACACAGGTCGTCTTCGCTCTGGAGTAAAATGTAAAATATTAAGATAAGTATTACCTAACTTTATAAAATACGATAGCTTAGAGTAGTATTACCTTAACTGAAAAATACAGTATGTTACAGTAGGTATTACCTAAATATTAGATTGTTCAAATAATTTTGAGCCTTTTTTCATAAAAAAAATTTTTTGGGGAGGGGCACAGAATTATTTGAACTACCTAATATAAGGCCGGAAAAAGTCTTGTCGCTTTTTTATAGGGTGCGTAAAAAGTGGTGTTACCAAACTTCATACAAACAAGTCTCTATAAATTAACGACAAGACTTTTATTTTGCTTTACATTTTTGGTAATGCCACAATATCAAGCTAAAATCTACTACAACATCCCACAACTCACCCCATCGTCCGAAGTAGCGGCCCGAACCGCCAAAAACGCGACCAAAAGAAGCAACAAGAACTTGGTGTCCATACTAATGAAAAGAAGGCTCAATTGATGGCTGATAAACGAAAATCAGAGTTACATACGTCAACATGCAACTGCCCTCGTCTCGAACTTGTTGTTGTAACAGCTACACAAACACAACATGGGTAACAACATGGAAACTTGTGATAGGCGCAACGACGTAATCCATGTTATTTGTTTTTGGAGTAGATGCTTTTTTTAGATTTTTGCAAATTTTCAAATTTTTTTTTGGTTTTTGACGTTATTTCAATTTGGATTGGAGAAAGTATGAAAGCGTTCTGTACGTATTCTGATATATAAATTAAGTTTAGTTCACATAAAGTAAATGAACCGTAAGATAGAGTAAGATAATTCAAAGTAGGGCAATATATGGTAATGTAGAAACATATAATTCAAGAAATGGGTAGGGGGTGGCCTAGCGTAGGGTAGTGTAAGATAAAACTGTATACTTTGGATAAGGTAGGCACGGTAAGTGTACGGTTGGCAAGGTGTTTCTAAATGCCTTAGGACAAAATTTGAAAATAAGGTAGGGCAAAATGTGGAGGAGAGTAGGATCGTTCAGGGTAGGATAGGGCACAATAGGGTACAATAAAGTGGAGTACGGTAAAGTAGGGTAGGGTAACGTAGGGTAGGGTAGGGTAGGGAAGGGTAGGGTAGGGAAGGGTAGGGTAGGGTAGGGTAGGGTAGGGTAGGGAAGGGTAGGGTAGGCTAGGGTAGGGTAGGGTAGGATAGGATAGGATAGGGTAGGGTAGGGTAGGGTAGGGTAGGGTAGGGTTGGGTAGGGTAGGGTAGGGTAGGGTAAAATAAAAATAATTTTGTTCATACCCTGCTCTTCTCCAGTTAATATTCCTAAATCAAAGTCAAACTCCAAAGTAATAGTAATATTTATTGATATCAAATTATGTTGTTACAAAACAAAGTACCGGTATGTTCAAGCGCTCCAACGTCTCTACTCAATAATATAGAACAAGATATAAGAAAGTGATTCCGATGCTGGCCAATAGGACGTTCAGGAAGTGGGTCAGTATCTCGGGCATGTCCTTGTCCTCGGCTGTGTATGGTTCTATTCCCAAGGTCTGAGGCTTTGTAGGATTCTCTTTCTCTTTCAGACAGATCTCCTCATATGATTGGACTGATAAGCCTGTTAGGACAGGCCTGGTTAATATACAGGTGGACTGTCGTTGGACTGGCTCTCCACTGTTCTGATGATAGGCTAATAGTGATGGGATTGATTGGAAGTAGGATGTGCCTACTCTGTAGAGACCGAAGCTTTCTTTGATCAAGAAATGGTAATGCTTTTCATCACATTTCACTGATAACACTAGTTTTAAGAACTGAAAAGATATAGGTAAACTACTACTACTAATATGATAGTTATTAGGTAATACTTAGTACAATATAATGTAAAAGTTTGTAAAGATACTACCCTACCCTACCCTACCCTACCCTACCCTACCCTACCCTACCCTACCCTACCCTACCCTACCCTACCCTACCCTACCCTACCCTACCCTACCCTACCCTACCCTACCCTACCCTACCCTACCCTACCCTACCCTACCCTACCCTACCCTACCCTACCCTACCCTACCCTACCCTACCCTACCCTACCCTACCCTACCCTACCCTACTCTACCCTACCCTACCCTACCCTACCCTACCCTACCCTATCCTATCTTATCCTACCCTACTCTACTAATATACTTCATCCCCAGAGTTCACACTATACTTTACTATTATCATACCTTCCCTAGCAATATTCCTAGCTTGTGTTACATTCCCTGCTCTACTCTATAAAAATTATTGCCTTATCCCACCTGAGATAACCTTAAAAACCTACCCCATCTCGTTTGTCCATAGCACTCCTGAGCAAGTAATCTCCATTCTTTTTGAGTAATCGATTCGCTCTGAACTTGGATAATCGACCATGGAAAATGTCCAGATCTCTAACTTGATCCAGCCAATGTGGTGCACAAAACTTCTTTTTGGGGCTTTGCACTTCTGGAGATCCGTCGATTTTCTCCGATTTTCCTGGAGAAAACGTAGGGCATGTCGATGCAAAAGAAGGGCTGTTGTTGGACTGAAATTTTTTTTTGTTTTAAAGTTTCGAAAAAAATTAAATTTTGACTTCTGGGGGCTTAAAATTAAAAAAAAATTAAAAATAAAAAAAATTTTTTTGATGCGATAAAGAATGGCGCGTCATCTAAAATTTTACTTTCTTTTTAAATTTTAAAATTTTGAGGCATTGAAAACTTAAAAAAAAAATTTTTTTAATTTTTTTGATGCGAAAAGAATGGCGCATTGAAATAGACTTTTTCTTCTTTTATTGAAAAGCTCAGCCCAATAGTGATAACAATACTATATTGTCCAATACTAATTGAGTACTAGTAGCAAAGAGTTAAAAATTAAAATTTTTAAAATTAAAAAAGCTTTTACTTTTAATGCAAAAAGAATGGCGACTCAAAATTGATTTTTTTCTTCTTTTACTAAAATGTTTAGCCCTATAAATGTTTAGCACTATAAAAATTTAACTATAATAACAATGTTATATTTTCTGATACCGTATGAGTACTAGTACTTTGTACTGTATCAGAACTAGTACTTAAAGTCTATTTTTAAAATCCTCCCTTACCGAAACAATAAACGAAGCCATGAGACAGACAGTTGTCTTTATAGCAAAAATACGTTTTTCTCAAATAATATCAGACTTCAAACCAAAACAATTGGTCAAAAAGTGAAGTTCTAGCTCACAATAGTCAAATTTAAAATTTTTAAAATGTCAAAATTTAAAATTTGAATCAAATTCTAGCCAGCTCGAAACAAAAACGTTTTGTAAAACAATATCATGACATATTAGCTAGCCGGGAACAGCGTTTTGTTTGTTTTGAACGGAGAAAACAAAACAAATGTTGGGGGAAGACAGAAGAAGAACGTTAAATATTTAATTGTACGAAGAAGAATGACACAAAATGACGACATTTTCTGTTTCAAAGAAGCCTAAGGCAAATACAAAAAGGCTGGATCATTAAAAAAAGTTATGACATCAATGTGAAAATATCATTAAAAGTGATGGCATATGGGTTTTCGGTAATGAATATTGTACTCTGCCTTGCCTTTAACTTGCCTTTGGCCTGCTTTTGGCTTGCCTTTGGCTTAACTTTGGCCTGTCTTTGAACTGCCGTTAGACTGTCTTTGACTTGTCTTTGGCCCGCCTTTAGCTTGCCTTTGACCTGCTTTTGCCCCGTTATTGGTCTGTTTTTAAACTTATTTTAACTTGCTTTCGGCCAAACTTTAGCCTGCTTTCAGCTACTCTTTGGCATACCCATGGCCTGCTTTTGTTTTGCCTTTTGGCCTTCCCTTAGCCTGCCTTTGGCTTGCCTTTGACCTGCCTTTTGCCTGCCTTTGGCTTGTCTTTAGCTTGCCTTTGGTTTTCCTTTGGCCTGTCTTTGGCCTACCCTTGTCCTGGCTTTGCCCTGTATTTGCCCTGTTTTCAGAATTCTTTTACCCTGCTTTCGGTCAGCTTTTAGCCTGCTCCCGGCTAGCCTTTAGCCTTCCTTTGACTTGCTTTCGGCTTACCTTTTGGCCTTTTCTTAGCATGCCTTTTATTATAAAAAATGCTTTAAAATAAGATACTTGATTTTTAAAATGCCTAAAATGTTACAGAAAAGGTCAAAACAGCCATTTTTAGCCTACAAAACCATAAAAAACTAATTTAAAAAATTTTAAAATTTTAAAAAAGTTCAAAGCAAAAACTTCAAAACAAAAAAAAATCAGAAACTCACAATCAATGGCTGATTCTCCGGCTTATTTCCATTAGGTTCACGAGCTGAAGCACCCATCGTTCCTCACCGTTCTCCAGCTGTTTCCAATTCCCTTTGACCGTTCGTTTTTCAAATAAAAAAATCCGAAAAACGCAAACCACCGCTAAAAATGTACACGTATTCAAAATAACAGAATCGAATAGCAAAAAAACGCTTTTTTGGTTTTTCCAGAGGTTTTAAAATTTCGAAAAATTCACGGATTGTGGGAAAAATCGTATCTTGTAAAACTTAAAATTACGATGATATAACCCTTGAAAACGTTCTACTTTTGTCACAGCTTTGACTTGGCTTGCTCTGACTATACTCAACTCTACCTTACCCTACTCATGCACAACTCTTTCCTTATTTTGTTGTACTTATGTGCCTTGAACTGACTTTAATTTTAGCATACGCATCTCTACTGTCTTCTTAATTTGTTTTACTCTAGAATTATCCTAGATTTAAATATTTCTATAATTTTTATTTTAACTACCTTTTCTCATCTTAACATCATCCGATATTTCAGTTATCCATACCTTACTTGGTATTTTCCTAGATTTATCTATCCCTTAGCTTTGGCCCTTTCTTAGATCTGGCTTAGCCCAACCATAGACTTGCCGTAGGCTTGTATTTGCTTTGTCTTAGCTTTACTTTACTCTTTCTTATATCGCCTTAAGTTAGTTTACTGAACCAAAAACTATACTCTATAATATTTTTAATTACCCATAAAATCTTATAAAACCTTATTTTTTAAACCTAAAATTTACAAAAATTGTCATAAGTTGCAACATAGATAATGGCACAATAAAGATATCGCTTTTTATTGTAAAATACGTTTTTTGCTTCTATAATAAGATAGATATATGTAACTGTCTTTTTCAAAGAAATAGATATGAAAGTGGTTAAAGACGACGAATATATGATAATACGTAGGTTTATATATGAAAAAAAGAATCATATGTTTGTTTATACAGCTTAAATCGAAAAAAGCTTTAAGCGCAGTTTTTTAAAAGCAATAACGAAAATACATAGTAAAGTAAGTTGTTGTTTTTGATATATAATCAAAAATTCCTACCCCGTCCCTCTCCCCACCTCCACCCAAAAGATTTTTTCAATGTTTTAATTTGCTCTCCCTTCTTTTAGGCAGGGCAAAACAAATTATTACCCTCTCACCTCTCCTCCCCACTCAAAATGTCCTTTCCAACTCACATTATCAATCCCAATTAAATCTTAAAAACCAACTTTACCCTACAAATCACATCATTTAAACCCCTAATTTAAATTTCCTAATTAAAATTACTCCAACAATAACAGACATCGATAACAACATTTTTCAAGCTAATGATCTCTTCGCTTTGTCTGAGATCATAACATGTTTTGGAAGCGGTAATCGCGTGGAATCTTTTTTAGATTTCTCACAAGATTTGAAAGAATAGCTTCAGAATTTTTTTTTCAATTTTTGGCGAGTTGATTTATATTCTAAATAAACGTATATTGAGCTCGTAAATCAACATGTCGCTTTGTTGCGATTTAATGATTTTTTTAGGTTTAGGCTTGGAGAATAAGGTTATATGGGCAAGTTAAGATATTGAAGTGTAGGGTAGGGTAGGTTAAGATAGAGTAGGGTAGAATAAGGCAGGGTAAGTTAAGGTAGGGTAGAATAGGGTAAGGTAAGATAAGGTAGAGTAAGGTAAGATAGAGTAGGTTAAGATATTGTAGAATACGATAGAGTAAAATAGGTATGGTGCTTAAGATAAAATAAAGAAAGTAGGGGAGAGTAGAGCTAAAGAAAAGCCAAAGCTAAAACCAAGCTAGAAGAAGCTGTCTAGACAAAGGCTCTGATAAGACATGAGTAACGCAAAGATAAGCTGGGGTTAACACATAAACATAAGCTACAGTAAAAACTACAGAAGAACCTAAATAAGGTTAAAGTATGTAATATTACAGTAGAGTTAAATAAGGCTAAAGTAGAGCTGGGTATAGTCAGAGCAAAGCCAATTTAAATCTATAACAAAAGTAAGCAAATGTTAAAGCAGAAGTAAAGCAAGAATGAAATAAAGAGAAGGGTAGGGTAAAGAAAAATGAGAAAAAAAGTAAAATCTTTAAAGGCAATTCTTAAACAGTAAAACAAAAAAAAGTTTTAAAAAACCAAAACTTATGACAAAAACTAGTCAAAATAACAAGTTTTACAATAATATACACACAATTCCTTCCTTTTGCGCACACTTCACGTGTCATATGAAACACGAAAAAAAGCTGCGATCAAAAAGAGCAACAACGTTATTATAAATTTATAATTCACAAGTTCAACAGAGTAAACAGAGAATTAGAGCTTGAAAGCTTGAAAAATGCTTTTAAAATTATTTTAAAATTTAAAAAAATTGAAAATAGAGGTTTTGAGAGACTGTAGAGCAAACTTAAAAGCTAAAAGCTAAAAAACTCTTACAGTTCAAATAAAGATTCGTTTTGAAAAACAACGTCAAAGTTGTTCTTGCAGTTGCAAAAGCAAACAGAAAACAGTTCTGGCCTTTAGTTTAGTGTTCGGTTTTGAACAGTTTAGAATATCAGTTAATTCCGAATTTCCGACTTTGACTTTAGCTCAGATTCTGTTTTTTTAAGTTTAGCCCTAACTATAGCTCTAATCTTGAAGCCAAATCCGGTTTAGAAACTTTTGGAAGCTTTGGTTATAAACAAAACCTTAAAATATGTTGAAGCCAGCGCAGAGAGCTGTAGCAAGAAAGAAACAAATAGTGTTAAAGCGCGACATTCTTTGCGCGGCTTTTTAATGCGTTATACGGCCATAATCGATCGAAATGTAGACATATAGCATCACCAGCCTCTTTTTTATTATAACTATTAGATTAATCACCTTTTTTAGATTATGATTGTAGGCAAAATTTGCTACACATTGAAGCAAAAATCTTCTTTTTTGATCTACAGGTAGCCAGCCTATACACCCATTTTTCAAAAATATTTTTTTTTCGAAACTTTCCGGACCTTTGTGAACTTTTTTTCGAAGCAGTTCTAAAGAAGAGCGGATTTATCCCTATGAGCCCCTTCAACTCCTGTATCTGCGTCGTTGTCTGTAGGTAAATTATAAAATTAAAAAAAACTTGTTATAAAAATTAAAAAGGCATTTTAATTTTAAAAAAAATTAAAAACAATTTTTTTTGAGTTAAATCTTATGACTACAAGTTCATTTTTAATAAAAACAAAATTATAAAAAATGCTCAGAAATGTTTATTCAAGAGTCTCCGTATGCAATAAACAAACGTGAAAATGAAAAGAGCAAATTGAATTTTAATGACAAACATATTGACTTAAGAACGTATTTATAGCTCTATTCTAAAGGTTATTTGGAGCAGGTCTACAAAACCTAGCTTAATTCGATTTTTATTCTATCCTTCTCCAAAACTAGCCTTAGCCTATATCTAGCTTTGTCATAAATTGGCTCTGTCCTAACCTTACCCTACTTAAATCCCACTCACCCAGGCTTTTTGTATTGAAGTATAACTTCAAAAAAGTGAAACTAACATTATACTGTTCACATGTCAAAGTATAAATGTGTGATCACAAAATAATAAGCTCTCTTACAGCATAATAATTCAGTTTTTGGTTATAAAAACTCAAAAAACAGATCGATTTATTCACAGCGGATTAATCCGTTTGATCACATGCCTTACTCTGTATTCGAATGGACGTTACGGCTATTTATTTCATTTTTAGGCAGTTTTTCATGTTTTAAAGTGTAAAAAACGTAAAATACAACAAAAAATATATAATGTAAAAGTTTTTGCCATATTCATTTTCATATTTCAATTGATTTTTAGCTTGTATGATATAAGGATGATAGTCACTATATTATGCTACAGACTGGAAAGGGAGCCTACTTGCTTTGGCTCTGTCTTGGCTCGGCCTCTTCACAGGTCTATTATATATTAAATGTTCAATAAAAACTACAGTAACTATGTCAATATGTTTTAATTTTGAATATGTAGTTTAACATATGGTCACACGTTGAACCAAAAGCTTGTCAGTAAATTGTGTGTACATAGTTTTAAATTACATGTTTTAAAACAATAAAGTAGACATTTAGAAAAGTGCCAAAACGGAAATAATTTCATTTTTTTGTTTGATGAAACATTTAAACGAATTGCTTTGTCTTGGCAAACAAAATAAGTCTGTTTCTTGGTTTGAGAGTTTTTTTTGTTGTTACAGTAATTTAAAAATCTGAATTTTTGTTTATTATTTTTAAATTTAGTCTTAAACTGAATTTAGTCTAATCTTATCCAGCAAAAACCAAGCAGTACCTTTGCTTTGTCTTTACTTTTTTGTAGCCTTACTCTATTCCTACTCTACCATTATCCGGCACAAGTCATAACTTAGTTCTACCTTGTAAAAAGTTAGCTTTGCCTTAGCTTAACCTACCCTATCCTTACCCTGACCCTACTCTAGCTTTATTTCAAACAACTCTTAGCCTAGCTCTACTCTTTTGATAAATCAGCACTACCCTAGCTTTATTTTACCTCAGCTCTACTATACCGGACAGCCAACTACACTACTTTTATTTTAACTTATCTCAACATTAGATCTCTTTTCTAGTAGCCCTACCTATTATACTTCTTACCTTATATAAAAGACTTTTTAATTTTTTTAATTTTAAAGAATATTTTTTGGCATAACTTTTGCACTTTTTAAAGCTTGTCATAACTACGTCATCAAAAACCAAAGTATTGAAAATTTGTTTTAAAAAGGTGCATTTTTATGGAAATTTTTCACTATTTACGTACTTTTTTAAATCAAATTTAAAATTTTTATGCAGTAAGTTGATGTATCACAATATTTTTATGCAAATTTGCACTTTTTCTAAAAATTTAATTTAAAATTTTTAAAAAACAAAATTTTGTGCCAATTTTACATAAATTTGTCCGAAAATTTGTACTTTAACAGTGTTATTCAACGACCATGTGGTGTTATATAATGAAATCTTCTTTTATGCGAACTTCCGGAGTTTTACCTATTTTTATTCGAAGCGAATGTTTTCACATCGTTTTTTGAAAAGAATTTGAAAAATGTAACGATAGGGCATGTTTTTGATTGTAGCCTTTCTAGACTTTATTTTATATGGTTTGTTATATTGTAGGTTTGTGTTGAATGGAACGTATGTAAGTAAAGGTGTTGTTTTGTAAAGTCAAAGATTTAAATTAAGAGTAGTATACAAAGTAGTTGGTCTTTTGTGTACTGATGTTAAATACTGTAGACTTGTGTTATATACACAAGGAAATTAACAAACCTTTGCTCTAAAGGTGAACGGTTTTTGTTTATTCATAGTTTTCTTATATTTTTTTTGTTTAATTGTATTGATTCTATAACATATGAAGTTTTCAAGTGCAAAATACGAGATGTTTTGTTAAACCAGAGAAAGAATATTATTTAAAGGTATTGAACCTACGTTTTTTAATACCGTCTTTCAATGTTCAAAAATCTACTTTAGCCCTCTTCTTGCGTTACTTTGGCCCTACCCTAGCTGTAACCTTTCCTGGCTTACTTTAGTCGTACTTTAGCTTCACTTTCGACACCTTATTTTAGTCATAGTCTAGTCATATTATAGTCTTACCTTAGTCTTATCCTACGCTACCTTAGCTTTATTTTGTCTTATTCCTATTTTAGACCTACTCTATTCTTGTTTAAGCCTTATTCTGGCCACACCTTAGCCTAACTTTAGTCCTACTTTAGCCGTACCTAATCCTAGCCATATTATAGCCTTAATCTAGTTTTACCATAGCTCTACTATAGAGTTGCTTTATCCTAGCTCTACTTTACTCCTACTCTATTTTTATCATAACCCTATCTAATCTGGCTTTATGCTAGTTTTATATCAGCCTTTTCTCTAGTCTTATTTTAGCTTTACTCTTATTTTAATCTAAATTAGCATTACTTTAAACTTACTCTAGCCCCGCATTAACCCTAGCCGAGCTATACTTTAGCATTATTCTGGTCCCACCCTAACAATAATTTATTCTAACTCTACTCTAGTCTTATCTTTTGCCCTATCATAACCGCAATCTAGCTTTACTCTAACTCATTTCCAGCCTTTGCTCTTGCCTGACCGTAGCCCTACTTTAACTTTACTGTTGACCTGCTTTACCTCTTTCTTAGCCAAACTTTCGTCTATTAGCTTTAACCATGCTTTAACTATACTGACACTTTAAAATCAATAAAACTGTTTGCCAAAAGCCTTTGTCACATTTTGTCCAAAGCCTTCCCACCTCTACCGTAACCGCTTGTTTTTGGCCAACCTTTTAGCACCCGGAATATAAGTCAGACATGTTATGACATTATGCATGACATTCACAAAAAACCCATGTTTTGACGGCGTTTAAGAAAAACGCGATTCTTTGTCCCTGGAGAACGGTTGCCCTAAGGAGCCAATAAAAGCCGCGGCCCGAAAAAACTGAAAAAAAAATTTCCATAACTTTTTTTCGAAAAAAGGAAGCGGCAAACCGGAAACATGTTGGTCTCACCTAGCCCCCGGTCCCGCTTCCACTTGCGATGGGGCCGGGGCATTGTGTTTTTTCTTCGTTTTCACGACTTTTTCAAGATGGCTATGGGATGACTTTTTGTTTGTAAACGGTTTGGTTCTGAAGGATCATTTGGGTTCGAAGGGGAGGGGTTTTTGGGTGTTATAGGCTGAAACATGGTGATTTTAAAGTATTTTTCTACTTTGAAAGTAACCTTTTACAGTATGTTTCAGTAGGGTAATTTTATATGTAATAAAAAAGAGTGGGGGGGGAGGAGGTGACCATACCCAAAATCAAAAAAAATTTTTTTATTTTTTAAGTTGTTCTAATAATTCTGTGCTCCCTCTGAAAGCCAATTTTTGAGGTTGTAACTCAGAGCTTTGTGAACAACTTAATAGAACTTGTTATCACTTCATGTTGTGCAGTACTGTCAGACTACTTGTTGTTGAGCGCAGTTTGACTACTTGTTATGTAGTACTGTTTAACTATGACACATAACAACTTCCTCTATAAACTTAGTACCGTTTGTTATGTACTGTTGTGAGTGTCACAAAACAACTTCCTCTATAAATTTAAAATTTTTATATATATAGCCTATTTCCTTGACATTAACTGATGTCAAGACGATTTATTGTTTTCACAAGCGTATCTATGCATGTTTTAGTCGTCATTATAGAGATGCGGCTAATGTCATGCTTACAATTGCCATTTTCTAAACCTTTTTAAGCTCGAAAAACATCTTTTTGTGACAAAAAATGCTAGCTTTCATCGCCTTAGACTAAAGAGTACTCTATGTCTGTACTAGTTTTAATCTAGGTCTAGTCAAGCTTTATAGTCGCAATCTAGCCTACTCGAGATTTTTTACTTTAGACTGCTTTAACTCATTTTAGGCATTCTATTAGCCTTACTTTTACCTTAACATGGCTTTGCTCCAGCCTTATCAAAATCCGACTTAGCTTTACTCTAACCTGCGCTATCCTATCTATATTTCTGTCTTTCTGCTTAAATTTTACTTAAAAACTACACTACTCTAGCTATACTTTACAAATTGTTAGCACTACACTAGGACTGACTTGGTTTACTTTAGCTTTTACCTGGCTTTATTGTAGTCTTACCTTCGTAATTTTCTAGCTTTTCACTAGGCAGCATTGCCTTTAGTACAGCCTTCCTTTGTCTATCCTATCAATATATTATAGTAGCTTTCTTTAGTTTTATCTTAATTGTATTATTGTTGTAGCCTTATATAGCGTTTTTTGTAAAATCAAATGTTTTTTTTGACAACGTGAGTTTTTAAATTTTAATGAAAACCCTATAAGTTTTGAACTGCTTCTTGATATTATACTGTAATTTAATTATTTCTATCTACACTTTAACCCACGTTCGTGTTTTCTTTTCTATCTAATTACATATTGACAAACATCACATTTGTACTCCAAATTAAATAATGTCATCTTCAGGCCGCATTACCTCCTATTCATGACGTTAAGGTGTGGTTAATTTTGGACAACTTCAATGCCTACGTGAGATGCGAAACAATTATGCGTTCAGAATGTTTTTGGATCACAGTTTGTCAATTACATTGGCTTTTTACTGTGGTAAAGGGTATTGTGATTGATCAACCGATAAAAATTCCATCGTACGGGCCGTGTCAGCTTCCATCGCCCAATTCGGATCGACCTGAGCAGCTTAAAGAGGTAGGGGAATATTTTTTTTTGATAATATCGGTTTGTATTTTTAAATATTTCAGCTAGTACTGATACTTAATGTTAAATTTTTGGTACCCGATAGTACTAGATAGCACTAAAAAAGATACATACCTATAAATAAATAGTATTAGCTAGTGCAACACATTGGAAATACTGATATATGCGAAACAAAATACATGTTAGGACTATATAACGTACTACATAGTACTGTACAGAAGAATAGGATGTACTACAACCAATTTATAATTTATGAAAAAATAGTACTAGATAGTACTATTCAGCACCAAATTGTATTATCAGTACTGAGTGGTACTATGTTGTACTAAAAATTATTTTTTCTAGTACAAAGTAAATACCTTAAAAAGCCTATTTTTATAAAATTCTCAGTACCATTAGCCTTACAGTACCAATATCTCAATACTATATCAAAAACCACGTTTTGTCACAATAAAAAATGACATGCAAATGTTGCAATTACTTTTTATGACGCCAAAGCAAACAATGATTTTTTGAAAAGTCGTTAACTACCATATTATGCATAACTTCTTTCGGCCGCTTTTTCGACCTAAACTGCTTAAAAACGGCTTTTTTGACTTAGAAATGCTTGAAACGTTAAGAACGAAAGAAGGCTAGATTGGCATTTGTAAAGTACTTTTAGGGGAAAAAAAGTTATTTGAATTTAAAATTAAAAAATGAAAATGAAATTATAAGGCTTAAAAGAAAGAACTTTGTTTACGACACAAAAAATGGCAAGAACTTTCTTTACTAACCAAGAAATGATAAGAACTTCCCTTAAAAAGCAGAAAATTGCAAGAATTTTCTTTACAAAGCAAAAAATGGCAATAACTTTCTTTACAAAATTAAAACCGATATTATACAAAATATAAAATTTTTTATTCTAGTACCTCGAAGTTTGCAATGTCAGATCTCACCTGGAGTTCATGTGTGACCTACATCATCAACTTAACCAGCTTAGCGTCTATGCTATTGCAAAAGCGGTAGAAACTCACAAAAGTGTCTTACAAACCAATGGCAAACACAACCTCGGGATATTGTTAGGTAAACTAGCCCTAGCCCAGAGTTCTAGCCCAGAGCCCTAGCCCAGAGCCCTAGCTCAGAGCCCTAGCCCAGAACTCTAGCCCAGAGCCCTAACCTAGAGCCCTAGCCCCGAGCCCTAGCCTAGAGCCTTAGCCCAGAGCCTTGGTCAAGAGCCCTAGCCCAGAGCTCTAGCTAGCCCTAGCCCAAGCCCTTATCCCAGAGCTTTAGCCTAGAATCCTAGCTCTAGCTCTGGCCAGATGATCAGCTACACACTATGGTTACATCACTTTATGACCTCGTTTTAGTCCGTCAACTAGCCCAGCCGACCATGTTGGATGCAGTGACAGAGAAAAGCGAGCTCTTTGGCTGTTTGTTTCATACTCCTTGTCAGCCGATGACACCTGAACTGGTTCACAAATTCGTTTCTACCTCAAAAACCTTTACAAAAGTGAGATAACATCAAGTTTTAAACGTTTTTTGTTTGTAAAATACGATTTGTGAAAAAAAGATTAAATGAAATGGCCTTATTGATCAAAAACTAGATTTAAAAAAATTTTTTAAATTAAAAAAAATTATATTACTTTAGATATTCACCCAAGCCTTATTTACTCGATGGTTTCCCTCGCCCTTTTGTCCTCAGCCGAAGGTGTTAATGGTTGTTGTGATGGATGGAATTATTGGAGATCCAAGGAAACTGACTTCTGTCAATGTTTATACCGGTAGGTTTATAAATACATTACATTATGTTATGATTCATATAACTTACAAATATTTTAAACAAAAAAATTCGCGACGTATTTCACAACCAAAAATTTTTTTAAAAAAATTGTTGTTTTTTAACAGAAAGTTTTAAGATCGCGTATTTTACATTTGAAAATCTGATCATTATGACAATTTTAGATGACCCACGTTTCAATCCATACATAGTCAATATACAATTAGAAGCCGCCAACAGCCTGCTTCAAGGTAATTCATCGCCAAATATTTTTAAAATTTGAATTTTTACGCTTTATTTTTTACTCTTTTTAAGTTTATATTAATACAAGTTTAAAATTTGACTTTTTTTAAACTTAAAGTTTGGTTTATTTTAAGTCTAATATACCTTTTTCGAGCCAACAATTTTTTATTTGTAAACTTAAATTTTTTTAATTTTTATGCTTAGAATCTAATCATTCTTGATCTTACACTTCTGCTTTATTAGGCTTAAAACATTACCATTTTTAAGCCTAATAACCTTAAACTTATTCAAACAATTATACAATTATACATTGTACTTTCTTTCCAGGAGTACCACTAGTCGAAGCCCTAGCAGACACAATCGATCAAATCGGGCTAGCTTTCCGTGAATACTACACAAATCAAGGAGAACCCAGACGACATGTCATTCCAATGTGGGCATGGGAATTGGCTACGATTAGTGTCATTCTAGTGGTACTGGCATTGGGAATAGAGTGGTACATTGTGAGACGGAAGATTGCTAGTAATAGATCGTCGGCTGGGCTCAAAGTTGATGCTGTTAGGTCTAAAACTCATCTTATTTTTTGAAAGTTTAAGTTTTGTGATAAGAAATGTCTTTTTTTTCAAATTTCGACATTTTTTGAAATTATGACATTTTTAAAAAATTTGGTTTTATGTCAAAAAGAAATGTCATAATTTTTAAATTTGATGTTTTTTGGCTAAAATTATGTCATTTTGATCAAAACTTTGTCATTCCTTAAACTTTTGAATATGTTTTGTCATATATTGTGTTTACTTTGCATATCGTTGTGTAAACTTGTTTACATAGTAATTCTGAGTATGTATATGTACGTATGTACACATATGTATTGTTTTCAGTAAATAAACCTAATCGGGCTATATATTCATAATTTTTTGAATTCTGCTAGGGCTAGGGCGGAGTACCAAAAGGGTATTTTACAATTCAGTATACTTAACCTCATAGTCCAGATAAATGGCAATTCAAAATAATTTTAAAAAAATTTTTAATTTTTATTATTTCAAAGATACATTAATATAAATACACAAGTATATATACATATTATAAAGTAGAAAAACGTAAATAATTGACCAAATAGTAATATCTTTATGTACACACATGAATATCTTTGTTTACAAACCAGCAGTATCAAGTATGACCGGTTTAACAACAATAATATATATCTTGAAGACGGAGATTACAATATAATGCACATTGTTTTGGACTTGTAGGTAGAACACAACATCTTTTGCCACAGAAATGTCATAAATGACGTATTTTTTAATACAACCATAAAGAAGACGTATTTTACCATAAGAACGTCAACCTGTCATATTTTTGACAAAAATGTCGAATCAGCTGCTTTTTTCATAAAAACGTCAGCGTGACATATTTTTTTGTCAAGATGTCATCGATTCCCGATTTTCCAGAAAATTGTCATAGATGACGTATTTTACCAAAAAAAATGTCATGAATGACAAATTTTTCTAAAAAAAGTGTTATTGATGACGTGTTTTATCATAAAAATGTCATAGATGACGTATTTTAAGAAAAAAATGTCATCATGAAACATTTTTATGAAATTTATCCCTATGGCGTATTTTACCATAAAAATGTCATAGATGACGTATTTTTTTCATATACACGTCAGCATGAGTTATTTTTTTCAAAAAACTGTAATTATGATATATTTTTTATAAAAACGTCAAAGATGCCACATTTTTCCAAAAAATCTGTCATACATGACACCTTTTCCCATTCTGTTTGCTATTCCCATTAATTTCGAGCAAAGCTGGACTAGCCGGCGCTATGACCGCAATCAATGGTGTTGACTGTTTTTTAAAGTCATAACCGGTCGTTTTTGAGTACGGCATTGGCCGATCCGTCAAGTATTCATCGACTGAAATCAAATTGACTAACTGAGTTGATTTGTGCTTACTGACAGCCGGTTTGCTCTTCAAAATCCCTCGACCCAGGATTTTTTTGCTTTGAGGAGTAGTCGCTTTCTCTGTAGGATTACTGTAAGTTTTAGACGTTTGGTAGATTGATTTTTTGGTAAAGTGAACCTGAGTGGTCGATTTTGTGGTTGGACTAGTAGGTTTTGAGGTATGACTAGCTGATTGGCTGTTTTGTAGATTTTGGGTCATAACATGGCCTGTGGTACTATTTAAGCTTACAAATTGGCCCACAGTACCATTTTGGTTATTCACTTGGCCAAGAGTACCAGCTAGGCTATCCCCTTGTCTAGCTGTACCATTTAAGCCCGTTTCTTGACTAACAGTACCACTTTGGCCTACAACTTGGCTACCAGTACCATTCTGGAACGAAAAATTGCTTCTAGTACCACTTTGTTGTAGTATACTTCCTCCAGTACCAGATTGGCCCAGTAAACTTCCCTCAGCACCAGTTTGACTTACTAAACCACCTCCAGTACCATTTTTGCCACTTCCGTCGCCTCGACCAGTCGATTGTTCCACATCCTCGTCGTCCGCCTTCAAGGCCGATATTAACGGACTAGAAACGCTAGTCTGGCATAGTATAGACTCTGGTAAGAAGTCGTCATCTACTGCATTATACTTCAAAGTCGACCGTTTTATGTAGACTGCTAGAGGGAATTCGTCCTTCAAAGTTCGTCGAAATTGAGCTCCGAAAACGTAGTAAATGATGAAATTACAGGAGGAATTAAGGACGACCATGAGATTAGAAGCGTCAATTAGGTACGAGTTCTCAATCGCTAACATCAACTCCAAAAAGTTTACTGTTAAGGGCTGAAAATAAATTTAGCTTAGGACTAGGTCTAAGAGTAAGGCTGGAACTACGGCTAGAACTGATAGTGGGGCTAGGGCTGGGGTCACGGCTAGAGCGTCAAAATAGAGGTGAGGGTTGGTTTCAGAGCAGGGTATGAGTAAGGTAAAGCATGGCTTAAGAAGGCAAAATTACGGCTGGGACAAGAGCTAAGGCTAGGCTAAGGTAAAACAAGGCTTAGATAAGGCACGGATACGGACAAAGGTAAGAATTAGGGCTTAGGCATAAGCTTAGGCTAAGCCTTGAGTTAGACCTTGGACTAGAGCTTTGGGCTAGGGCTCTTGGCTACCGCTCTGAGCTAGGGTTTTGGACTTTGGGCTAGGGCTCTGAACTAGGGCTCTGGGCTAGGGCTCTGAACTAGGGCTCTGGGCTAGGGCTCTGGACTGGGGCTCTGGGCTAGTGAATTAGGTTAAGACTTTAGGCCAGGGCTCTGAACTAAGGCTAGTAAAAAAGAAACTTGACTGACTTACCATGATATTACAAGCTATGAACAAACACACGACCAGTACAAATGTTGTTATATCTGATCCATCGCCACTTTGATCGTTTTGTCGTGTGTTTTTTATTATGATAACAATAGCTGTATTCAAGATAATCAACAACAATACTGGCCCAACTGCCATTACTATTGTGTAGAGGTAGGCGTAGTAAAATGTGAAGTAGATCTAAAAATAAATTTTGTAAATTTTATTTGTTTTTTGATAAAATTAGCAGTAAAAAGATTATTTTTAAGCCTAAATTTCATTTTTAAGCCTAAATTTTATATTTAAGCCTAAAGTTATATAAATTAATTTTAAGCCTAAAATTAATTTCTTAAGCCTAGAATTGTCGAAAATAAATATTAAGTTATATTTTTAAACCTCTTACTTCATTTTGCCTCAACTCCGTAGGACAAACATCGTAGCTGGGCTGAGAATAGTGGGTATTCCAACAATGAATCACTGAGATCTCAAAAACATGTGATAAGTTGAACAGAACTGCCAGTAAAATATTAGTCATTACTACCTGAAAAACATGTTTTTGGTTACTGATTAACATAGAAGAGACTATTTTACACAGAAATCAACTTATATTTAGGGTAAAAAAGCAAAAAAATCTGTTTTAGGTAATAAAAGAGGGAGTCTTGACTAAAAATTGCCCTTTTACAGTTTAAAAAACAGTTTTTTTATACAAAATGTGAATTGTAAGGTAGTGTAACTTCTAAAATGTAGACGTTTTCACAAGTTATAACTAAAAAATAAAGTTTTGTTACCTAAAAAATGGAATTTTAGACAAAAAGGTCAATATTTTCGCAAAAAAACATCAAATTTTGGCCTAAAACCGAGAAAAATTGCGTTTTAACCTATAATAAATCATAAATAATCAATTTTTAACCCATTAAATAGCTGCCAAAACCTACCCATTTAGTAGTACTTGGCGTACAAATCTTCTCCTTGATCCGATCACTCGCAATCACTTGAAGAAAGCAGTCGAAAGCAGCACTGACAGTCAAGAAAACACTCAAACTTTGAGCTGTCAGTCCCAATGGGAACATTAACGGTGCTGTTAGTGCAAAATACTTTGACACAAACGCCGACCTCTTCCTCATACTTTCGAGAAAAAACAGGAAAAATGAGGTGGAGATGATGGTGGCATCACTGAAGGCCAACGAGAATAGGTAACAGTTGAGAGAGCTGCGCATCGACTTCCGAGAGTAGACAAAGGCTGATAAGGAGTTGCCTATCAGGCCGAGGAAGCCGAGGATTGGCAAGATCATGCAAATTAAGATCTGAAATTTGGAAATTACAATTTTTTTTTAATTTTAAAATTAAAAAATAATTTTTTGAAATTTGATTCAAAGTATAATATGCAGGTAAAAGAGCTATGACAATTAGTATCCCAAAAACATCTTTAGGGCTAGAATATACTCTTATCTGCCTAAAAATTTTTAAAAATTTCATAATTTTTTCAAAATTTTGTTGTTTTTTAATTAATGGCATTAAAAAAGACTTGTCGCCAATATACCCTAACTTTCACGGTTAAAAACGACAAAACTTTTTTTAACTTCTCAATATAAAATTAAAACTAGTATTAAATCTAAAATATGTATGTAAAACAAGAGTTCAAGGTTTATGCCTAATAAGCTGAATTTTAATTTTGATGAGTTCATTTTGAGTGACATACGTTTAAAAAAAGAGTTATGTTAATTTAAAAATTAGCGAAATTTGCAATTTAACCCACAAGTTTAATAAATTTGAACTCAATTTGTCGACAGTCAACAAACAAAAATTAATTTTGTTTTAAAAAATTAGCGTAGGCAAAGTTTAAAAAGTGGTGCTGGTCAGGGCCGGGCGCGAGGGGGGGACAGGGGGGGGTACCCCCCACAGAAAAAAATTTTAGCAGAAAATTGAACGTGGTCCCCCTGTGGACTTTCGGAAAAAAAATTTCGCAAAAAAATCGGCACAGGTAGCTTACCGGTGCCGATTTTTTTGGACCCCCGCCCCCAGACTAAAAGTCCCCGCCCGGCCCTGGTGCTGGTGGTACTACTAGTTTTACTTTCTAAAGCTAGTAATGATGGAGGCACTAATAGTACTATTTTGTAATCTCAACAATGCTAGCCAAACTAATAATACTATTTTTTGACCTATTCTTGTTTCTAATCTTAACAATAATAGCGGTACTAATAATACCACTTTATAATCTTAAAAATACTATTAATACTATTTTTTAATAATAACAACGCTGATTTTGCTAGTAATAATATTTTATAATACTAACAGCATTGGTGGTACTAATATCACCAACTTTCAGTACTAACAAGTATAAAAATTTTAAAAAAATGTAAAATACGATACCAAAACTATATTCAGTTAAAAAAAATTTATGCACTTGCCATGTTATAAAGCTCATATTCAGGCGCTGGCTGATGGTACTGACCAAAATTGTAACAGAAACCACAAATCGGTAATCCATTACATTGTCCTATCTGAATCGTATAATTGTTACACGTGTCTGCTGGTAAAGTCAGCCCTGTTGAGTTGTGCGACATTTTGGCTAAAAATTCGAGATATTATAGTAACATACGCGAGGTAAAATGAGATTAATAACATATACGCAATTTACGATTTCATTGACAATAAAAACATTTTATATTATAAATAAATTGGTCCCACCACGAAAACCTCAAAATTTCTGAATTCAACTTCTTTTAAAACCCACGCCTTTTTTACGTTTTAAAAATGCTCTAGCCGGTCTGCCGGCTTTAAAAATAATAATAATGGCAACATAACAAAAAAGGAACATGCAAATGACAGTTGTAAATCAAGCGCACCATAATGTGGACCCACGAATTCGTATTGAAAGTGTCACGCCAGTCATTTGTTATTACATATAGTGTAGAAGATTAAACACGTAAAAACTGTTTATTTCAATTCTAATTTTGTGGATTTTAAAGACAAAAACAGTACGTAAGATTTTGTTTTTAAGATTTCAAAGGCTTTAAAAGTTAAATAAATGTTATTGCTTTAAAAAATGGTAGGGTAAAACTAATGTAAAGGGGACAAATTCAATTTTTTAAATCGGCCCTTTTAAAATATGCTTCGACCCGTTCCGGGCCTTGTAGACCCTCTTTCAAAGCTAAGTTTAAGGGGGAAATCCCCCCCCCCCGAAAAAATTTTGAAAAAAGTTGAACGTGGTCCCCCCCCCCTGTGGATTTTTGGAAAAAATTTTTTTGCAAAGGATCGGCACCGGTAGAAACTGTGCCTTAAAAAAGTGATAGCAGTGGTAAAAGAGTTAGATCAAAATGCAGTAAAGTGTAACAGTGATAGCAAAAGTTAAAGGAAGTGGTAAAACAGGTCGGAATAGTAAATAAATCTGTAGTACAGAAGGGAAGGTAATTACGTTTCACATTGCATCGGCCAATTAAAAATTTAAGAAGTACTTTTAATATTTTTGAATTTTTTGAAAGCAGCCGTACTTTATACTGTACCTATCTTATATTCATCTCGTCGTTATCTTAACATCATTTTTGTTCTTGTTTATTCTTACTCTATCTCAAACCTAAGCTTTGCCTAGTTCGCTAACCATAACTCATCCCTAACCTTGCCTTATCCTTGTCCTACCCTTACTTTACCCTTGCCCTGCCTTTGTTCTGCCTTTGCCCTGCTTTTGCCAGCCTTTGTCCTGCTTTCGAACTGCCTTTTCTCTCCCCTTGCTTTTTTTGCCTTACTTTTGCCCTATCCTTGACCTACCTCTGTTTTGCCTTTGCCTTATCCTAAACCAACCCTAACTTTGCCCAAGCCATATTCAACTTTATCTTTCATTCTAGTCTTACCCAAATTTCAATTCATTCTTAAAACGCAAAAATATCTCAACTACTCCAATACGCCACTTCCTCAAACCCTTCGCATCATACTGTTCCTTCTCCGAACCGTTCGTATCATATATACCGATTCGAGTAAAACGCAATTTCCATTACTATTTACTGTCTCAAAACTTGTCCTTTAGTATTTACTGGACGTGCATCACTAACCCAGCCTAAAATAACTGCCGAACGCCCTCAGGCGCAAAACAGATTTGTTTTTGTTGTACTTGAAAACTTTGGAATTCGCTCAACTTTGCTTTGCATAATTAAGTCAGCGGTTTTTAATTGCCAAAACATATTTCACAACATCGTTTTTTCATGGTTAGCATATATGCATGGTAGGAACGTAGGTGGGGGTATAGCGGATGTGATGCGTTTCTAAAGATAGTTGGATATGTTTTTTTAAAATTTTTCTAAGCCATAAGTAGAAAAAAAAAAATTTTTTTTATTTTTAAAATTTTGGATTTTTGCTACCACCACGAAAACTTTCACCAACATAAAAACACAATATTTTTTAGTTTTTATGACAAAACAAGGAGAGAATATCAAACAAATGTACTAAAAAACTTTTTTAATTTCTTTAATTTTACTTTTTGGTCCCATCACGAAAACCTTGATCAATTCTAAAAATACTCTATTTAGGGCTTCCAGCATGAAAAACTAAAAATAAATGTATAATATAAGCTTTTAAAGTCAGAAGCATTTAAAACAAATATTAAAGATAATATTATAGACTACAAAAGGTTTTCGTGTCGAGACCTAAATCAATATTTTAATTTTAATATACATTTTAGGGATAACAGTATTTTCAGCTTCTTTTCAAAATTTATAAAATAAACTGTTCCAAGAACGTATTTTACTCGTATTGTTACAGTAATCTTACAGTAACTCTACCCAAAAACCTTAGCAAAGTATTTTCAGCATCTTCGTCAAGAGCAATATAAAGGCTAGAGACAAGGACTAGCGCATAAAGAGTAAGGTACATGTTAGAAATTCCAAAACTGGCCCTGATTGACCTTTCCCAAAACCCATTTTACAAAAATGTGGAAATTTATGAGGTTGTGAGACAAAATAGAAGCCCACCAGGCAACCGGCTTAAGAAGCACGTAAGCGAATTTAATTAGAAACGCATCCAAATTAAAGAGATTACTTGTGGGGCCAAAGACAATACAATTTGTTGCTCAGTTTTTAAAAAAATTATTTTTTTTAATTTTAAAAATTAAAATTTTTTTTTAAATTTAAATTTTTTTAAAATATTTTTTTTTAATTTTGGAAAATCTTAAAAAACTTAGTATAGTCAACCCTACCTTATCCTTACTTAAGCGATATTCCAGGTTTTAAAAATTTTAAATCATTTCAAAACAAAAAACCGATTGTCAATAAGACATTCATTTACAAAAACAACTCCCAAGCCAAAGTCTTTTTGTGCTTAAACTCGTGCACTCAATTAAGCCGTACCAACTTAAATAAAACCTCTTCATTAATAGAGCCGCTGGATCTTTGAGTAACTTCTAATTGCTTTCCAACTCAAAAACAACGAAAAGGAAGGGCTTGTAGAAGGTTTGACAATGCCTAATATGGATTTCAAAAAATATGACGAATTCCAAAAAAAATTTATAAAAAAATATATTTCAAGCCCTAGCTTTAGCACTTAGTCCTAGCCCAGAGTCCTAACCCGGAGCCCCAGCCCACAGCCCAAGCCCAGAGCCTTAGCCCAGAGCTCTAACCCCAAAGCCCCAGCCTAGCCTTAGGAAATATTAGTCATTCTCTATGACTAAAAGTTCAAGTACGTACGCAGATCGTTTGCGAACCGACAGCTGGTGATAGAAAATAGATCACAAGTGCTACATATAATAGTAATTAGGTCGTAAAATTAGATTGTCAAGTCAACGTTTTTATTAGACAAATTGAAATAGAATGATATTTTGAACATTATCTTACAGGGAAAGTGTTTGACCTGCCCTACTCTGATTGACTTAATTCTTTTTATATAGAAAGATTGTGTAAATATAAGATTTTCAGCAAAGTACTAAATCGCGTTTCCTAGTAAATTTTTAAAAAGTCGAAATTAAAAAACTAAATTTTGAATTTCTCGCCCAATTGGCATTGTGTTTTAAGCTTAAAACTTTGTCATTTTTTGACTTTTAATCATTTTCCTTTGATATACTACTAGAAAAGCTTTTAACAACCTAGAATACATTTTCAAATTTGTAAGCTTAGCTTGTCTAGAAAGTCAAAAAGAAATTCAAACACAATGCCAATCTTATCGGAATTCTGTTACAAATTCTATTACGATGCTCAGTAATATCTTTATTACAATCCCTAGTACAAATTTCAGTAAGACGCTTGTTTGGAGAGTCAAAAAAAGCGCTTAAAACACTATGCCAAGTTTTCCAAATTGGCGGGAACTCAAATATTTAAATTGTAATTTATGGGTACTAGTGGTGGTACAAAAAAATCATATTAAAACTTTTAGCTGATTTTGAGTGGGGCAAGTGAGGTATTTTACTTGTTCTCAGAAACGGTAGACATGAAAAACGGGCCGTGCCTGAGTGTTAGGCCCAGTCCGATATATAACTTTTGCTCGGCCGAATCTAAATTTGAGTCAAGGTCGGCTTGTTCCTCATTTTTAAGAAGCAACATTTTAAAATCATATCAAAGAATCACTAGCCTAACACAGTCACTGATACATACTTTATACTGTACTCAATCAAAGTTTAAATACCCAAACAAACCCAATTCTTCTAACTATTATATAACACTATAAAGAGAATTCAAAGATTCAATTAACCAAAGTTTCAAGAATATCTCAACTTTTCAAACTTCAAAATAGCCTCACAATCTACAACCGTGTGTAAAAAAAGAACCGCTGGCGAATATAATTTCCGTTCAAATTCAGCGTGTGTGGTTCTTATACAAAGTCAGCGGCCGAGGTTAATTAAATATAAACGTGGGTGCAAAGATGAACGATAGGCTGAGAGTATCATTCAAGGTTTAAGTTGTATTGTAAAAAATGATCAAGAGGTTTGAAGTAGAACAAAAGACGTAATAAGAAGAAAAGAGATACAGTATACTGTAACTTCTTCCTCTTCCTCTTCTTTCTCTTTTTCTTCTTCTTCCTCTTCTTTTTCTTCTTCTTCTTCACCATCTCCTCTCCATCTTCCTTCTTCTTCACCTTCTCCACCAGTAGCTTCCCGCTGAAAGCGAGAAGGTACTGGTGGAGAAAGCCCAGCCCTACTCTGTACCACTTCCAGCTGAACTCCCCATGTTCGGTCGGGCCCAACCAAACTGGGGAATCCAGCCGAAATGGTACATTTCGGACTGGTCGCGCGCGCCGCCACCGCTCCAAGAACCGTACCGCGAATCCGAGCCCGTCATCACTGCCAATCCCTTTCTACTCATCCGGCATTCAGACGGTGTATTAAGCTGCTTTCTGAAGGCAGCGCCAAGGACACTTTTAGCCGAGATCAAGACATGGGAATTGGAGGTATAGGCAAGTGGAGACACAATAGGTTTTTGGAGCGCGTACCACCCCTCCCCCGGTCTCAGCGACTTCAGAATCCTCACTAAAATCTTGACCTTTGCTCGTTTTTCATTGAGATATACCCCGCCCTTGGAGCGGAGATACTCAAAGAACGTTGGATTGTCATTTTTGAACGAAAAAATAAAACATTTTTGTAAAAAAAATTGTGACAGTCCCACGCCGACCTTGTTCTAGACTAAAGTGATTTTTCTGGTTCCCTAACTTTTAAGAATCCTCACCTAGCTTAATATCTGAACCTAGTCTTATAAATTTAGTAAGTATTACCCAAACCAAAAACCTTTTTTTATCCACCCAAAAAAAATTTTTAAAAAATTTACCCCAAAAAAAATTAAAAGAAATAAACACCACAAAAAAAATTTTTTTTAAATTCACACCAAAAAAAATTTAAAAAAATACACCCCCCAAAAAAAATTTTTAAAAAATCCACTTTAAAAATGAAAAAAAATCCACCGCACAAAAAAAAAATACACGCCTCGAAAAAATTTTAAAAAAATTCACCACCCAAAAAAAATAAAAAAAAATACACCATGAAAAAAAATTTACCCCAAAAAAATTTTTAAAAAATCCACCCCAAACAATATTTTAAAAAAAATCAACCCCAAAAAAAAATAAAAAAAATCCACCCAAAAAAATTTTAGTACTGGCCCGACTTTAATAATAGAAAAAATACAACTAGCTACCCTATCCTAGCTCATACCTAAGTAAAAATGAAGTAGTTACTGTGTAGTAAGCTTATATATAGCATAATAATGTGTGGCGTCACGAAATACAAGGCCAAGCCTAAGCCTAATGGGCGTTATTTTACAATATAAATGCATTAGGCGTTACTTTTGTATTAACTTAAGAAAAGGTTTGTGCGTTGCGTAACACGGCGCGTCAGTTACTTATTATAATAGGTTCATTTGTGCATTGTGTACTGTTGTAGTACGATTATGCAGTATTTATTAGTTCTATTATACAAAGCGGCTTATAAGCTACTAATCCTACTAAGCACATGCCTACTAAGCCTAAGCCTACTAAGCGTAAGTCTACCAAGCCTAAGCCTACTAAGCCTAAGCCTACTAAGCCTAAGCCTACTAAGCCTAAGCCTACTAAGCCTAAGCCGATAACCAAAAATGCCGTACTTACTTTAATCTAGACAGCTCTCAAACTAGGCTGGGCCGGACTTAAGAAATGTGGCAAGTCTAGCCGGATCTAAGATTTTTGGCCCGAGATTTAGCTAAGATTTTGGCTAGCCTCAAAGCCAAGGCTACCATACCTTACTTTATTTTACTCTATCCTACCCTGTTCTTAATTACCATACGTCACCCTACCATGCTTTGACCTACCCAACTCTATAAAATGACATAAAGTGACACAAACTTCTCAAAAGTCACAAGTTCAAACCCATAAAATTATACTTGATTTATAAACACATGTAGTTTCAAAATGACTTTCGAAGCCAAATAAGTTTTTTTATTGTTAGGAGAGGATTCTATGGACATTTTATGGATAATATAAAAACAAGATGGGCCATTCTTGAAAACTAAAATATAAAATATTGAGTTATTCTTAAATCTTTCCCTACTCTACCCTACCTTACCCTAAATAACACAAAAAATCCAAAAAAATTTTAAAAATTGTTTAAAAGCTTCTGTGCCTATACACCCAAAAATTGCTTTGAAAAGGGGCACAAAATTATTTGAACACCCTAAAAATATAAAATAGTCATATTAAGTCGGACCAAAAGTAGCGGGACACTTTATAGTTAAAAATTAAATGAATTGTGTCCCGCTACTTTGGTTTCATCTCTAGTATCATACTCATGCAAAAGCAAAATAAAAAACTCTTTTAGACGTGCTATTAAAAATTTAATTACGTTTTTATTTTGAGATAGATCAAAGACAAACTACTACAAATTGCATTGGCATTACCTATTAATCATATTTACATCCGGTTCCAGTCCATAGCTACAACAAATTTACGAGCTTCAGCTGTAGACATGACAAATACTGTGAAGGGTAGAACAGGCGTGCACTATATCTTAGGTAGCAATTTTTCTTTATTTTAAAAATTTTTTTTTAATTTTAAAATTTAAAAAAAAAATTTAATTTTTTAAAATAATTTTAAAAAATCTAAAATTCTTTAAAAATAGCAAAATTTAACAAAACCGCCTAAAGGCCCATACCATTAAGCCGAAAGACGAGTATTACGTCGGCACCATTGTAACCGGTTTAACAACATACTAAAAACCGAATTAGTATAAAAAAGAATGTAAATTAAAGACGTGACAGCACCAGGAACATGTCTGATTAAAGTTTCGGTAATTAAGAGCAGAGAACGGAACTGAACAATGAACCCTTATTAAAGAATGTCATTGTGTAAATAAAAGCAAAAATATTCTTGATCAAAGTTTCTATAGTATAGGAGAGGTTTTACAGTAAGTATATTGCTGTACATGAGTTAAATATCATCTTCTTGCCTTGCCTTGCCTTGCCTTGCCTTGCCTTGCCTTGCCTTGCCTTGCCTTGCCTTGCCTTGCCTTGCCTTGCCTTGCCTTGCCTTGCCTTGCCTTGCTTTGTCCGGTACACGCTACCTTACTCTACTATACTTTAAACCACTTTACGCTATACTACTCTAAATTACTTTACCCTACACTACCCTAAAAAACCTAAAATTTCAAAGTACAACCCTACAACAATATCAAAACGCCAATCTAATGTAAACAAAAACACTCCAATAAACTTGCTATCAAAATTTCAAAAAAACCCATGCCATTACTGTTACTTCCTACACAGTAACCGTCTCATAATATAGCTAAAAACAACGTCAGTTTGATATTGAGAAGCTGTATGTTATTGTTTTTCGTAAAACGTCAAACTAATCTGCCCCTGAAGGCTTGATTTCAACGCACGTCTAGCCGCAAATTATGCAAATTTTTGTTTTTAACCTAATTTTGATTAATTGACAAACGTTTTTAAAAGTTAAAAGTGCGTGGGATGTTAGCTATTAAATTTGTAAAAAGTTTTCTTAAAATGAAGGCAGGGCTGGGCAGGGTAAATAAAAATTTTGAAAATCCAGTGTTGAAATCAAAAAATATAAAAAAGTTTATAAAAGTCATAATCGATGACAAATTTATGAGATTCATTGCCAAAAAAGATGTGTAAAATGAGAATAAAACTATAGAAATTTGAGTAACAAATGCAACGCAAGACTAATTTTAAAAAAATATTTTTATTAGCTTTATAACCATATATGTTAAATGGTTAATATTACTCGTCTTTGTTATAAAAAAATTTTTGAAACAGAAGCCATATTTTTAAAATAATGACACATCAGCTCAGTCTTACCTATTTTAAGTCTTTTCTAAGCATGTGAATAAGCTAAAATAAAAAATTTTAAAAAATTTAACCGCAACATAGAGAAAACGACCGGTGAAGTTTTGTACCAGAAATTTTTGCGCATCCTGTACTATAATAACCTTAACTAATGTAAGAAGTATCACAGCCCTTTTAAGTTTACACTTTCTAGCCTATGCATTAAAATGTGTTATAAGCGTAACTAAACTCCACTTTTGACTTATAGTAACCTAGTCCTGATGTATTCTTACCTTAGCTTTACCCTAACTCTACTTTAATGTTTTAGTCCTCTTGATCTTAGCAATCAAGCCTAGTCATATTCCCAATTTACCCTGACATAACCCTGCTTTAGCCCTAGTCCAACCGTAACTAAATGTCTCACTTTACCTTTAATTTTGCCTTACCGCGGCCCTCCCTTAGCTTTACTTTTACTCTACCCCTTGCTTTATCATAGCTTTGCCCTATCTAAAATCATGATCTCCCGCACAGCCGTAGCCTTGTTTCACTTCACCTCTAGCGCAGATCTACCCTAGCTCTATCCTAGCCCTATTTTAGTTCTACACTAGCTTTACTCAAGCTCTACTCTACCTTTATCCTACCACTAACCTAGTCTTATCCTACCTCTACACTATACTACCCTAGCTCAATTGTAAGGCTGCCCTAGCCTTAACCTGGTTTAGTTCTATCTTGCTAGTGTTATCTTGCTTCCGTTTTTTTTAACTTTTGAGATGCTACTTAGAACTAAACTCAAAAAACAAGAAGTATACTTCAGATTACAAGTAAAACATATCACAAGAAGACGCTATGACAACAACACGTAAAAGTACAACAGGAAATGCTCGGAGGTTCTAATTTAATACTACATTCTACTACATGTCAACACGTGTTTTTACATTCCAATAAATCTAAAAAAATTGTAATACGTGACCTAAATTTACAAAAAAAAATAAAATGACATAGTTTTTACAACAACATAAAAAGCGTAACAATGTAATGTCTAAAATGTCAATATCTACTATAATATCCAAATATAGTATCAAAAAGTCAAAAAATGCAAATATACAGTATAATGCCATCTAAAGATGACATAATTCAGTCAAAAATCACTGCGTGACCCGCCAAACTTAACATTGCCCTTCTATGTTTGGAAACACTGCCACTTCCGTTGAGGGCAGTGATTAAAACAACTTGTAAGAATGCATCAATTACAACGTCCGCATTAAGCACGCATCGAATGGCACAGCCTTTGGCACTCTTTCAAATGTTTCATTTGTTTTATGTAAATGGCCGTGTAACAAAGAAAAGTAATATTTAAAAGGACGTAAAATTAAAAATGACAGATTTTTGATTTTTGTGGAAAAAATTATGTATTAAAAAAAGTATAGCATTAAAAATTTTTAATTAAAAAAACTGTAATTTCACTTACTGTAGAAGGTAAAAGTAAAGAGTTTTGAAAGTATCAAACAGAAAGACAGGACAAGGCAAAAGCAGGACAAATTCAGAGCAAGGGCAAAAGAAGGGCAAAGGCAGGAGAAAGGCAAAGCAAAGGAAGGGTAACGGCAAAGCACGAGCAGGGCAAGTGCAGGGCAAAAGCAGGGAAAAGGCAAGGCAAAAGCAGGTCAAAGACAGGACAAAGGCAGAGCAAAAGCAGACTAAAAACAGGGCAAAGGCAGTACTAAGGCAGGGCAAAGGCAAAGCAAAAGAAGGGCAAAGGCAAAGCACAAGCAGGGCAGGGCAAAGCAAAAGCAGAGCAAAGGCAGGACAAAGACAGGACAAGGGCAGAGCAAAAGCAGAGCAAAGGCAGGGAAAAGGCTGGGCAAAGGCAGGGCAAAGGCAGGGCAATGGCAGGGCAGATTATAATCTATGTATACAACTAACTGTCAGACTTTCTTTCCAACTTTTACAATATACTGGAACCTTTATATAACAAAAACCTGGTATTACGAACAACTTTTAAATCCCCGGCTAACACTGCACAGTGCATTTATAACTCCTGGATAACGGAACCTCTTCATAACGACCAAATTTTATATGCCCTAGCGATTCATTATACGCAGGTTCCACTGTAGTTTCTAAATGAAATTTGAATTTCTTCTATGTCATAATTAACGGAAATTCTACTCGGAAATTGTTAAATTGTTTCTAGCTATAAAAAAACTATTGTAATCTTATTTACCTACTAAATTTAACTTTTAATGTATTAAAATATGTCTTTTTCAAATGGCATTTTAAACTTCAAAAAACTAAAAAAAAGCAACATTCAAAAACTAAAATTAGGTATAACAGAGGAAAAAAAATTTTAATACCTAAAATAATATAAAAACTTATTTTAAGCCTTCTAAAATCTAAAAATGAATCTGAAAATGTCACAGACCTAAAATAACTATTTTGAATTTCAATCAGCCTTAAATTCTTTTAAATATGCAACATTAAAACCGGGCGTGTTAGAATGCCCTTGGGGCTTCTGAACGTCTTAAAGATTTAAAAATAATCAACGACCAAAGACTAAACATGTTCTTTGTATAAGAAATAAACAAAGTATATACAAAGTACATTCCTTAACTTATAAAAAAAATTGGTTGGCTTATTTAATTTGATACACATGGGTGTTGTAAACAAAATATAGTTGTGTTTAGAACTTCACTAGTGCTAGAAAACAATAAAGTCAACCGATCCCAAAGTAAGTCAATTTTTGAAGGCTCACTAAAAGTTGGAGTAGAACCAAAGTAAGGTAAGGTATGGCAAAGTGGGGTAGAAGGAAGTAGAGTAGAAGCAAAAGTTGACAAAGCTTAGCAATACAAAGCAAAAGCAGAGAAAAAAAGAGCAAAGACAAGGCAAAGACAAAGCAAAAGCAAAACAAAGACAGAGTAAAGGCAAGGCAAATGCAGGGCAAAGGCAGGGCAAAGGCCGGGCAAAGGCAGGACAAAGACAGGACAAAGGCAGGGCAAAGGCAGGGCCAGTGTTTTGCCGGACCAGTCCGGATGAGAATTTTTTCGGTCCGGTCTGGTTTGGAAAATTTTCGGTCCGGTCCGGTCCGGCTCTATTTTTTTTTCGCTCAGGTCCGGTCCGGTCCGGACCAAAAAGGTCAGCTCCAGTCCGGTCCGGAAATTTTTTTTTATTTTTAAAAAGAGCCAGGAGCGCTACAACTGCTTTCTTTACGTTTAAAAACTCTTAAAAATATGTTTTATTTGCAATTTTTAAAACAGTTTTATTAAAATAAAAAAACATTTTTTTGTCCGGAGCGGTCCAAAACTTTTTTTCCGGTCCAGTCCGAAAAATTTTCGGTCCGGACCACGGGTCCGGCAAAACACTGGGCAGGGCAAAGGCAGGTCAAAGGCAGAGCAAAAGCAGAGCAAAGACTGAAAAATAGGAAATTTATAATCTCCAAGCGATTCGTTATACAGATGTTCTACTGTAAACAAAATTCAAAACCGCATACCCAACAATAAGCCTACTAACAAGCATCTTACTACTTTTATATACTCCTATATACTACTTTGGATAGATCAAAAACTGATACATACTGATAATTAACGAACTCCAAAATACAACAGCTGAAACTTCAAAAAATGTAAATAAGTTCTTAAAAAGTACATTTATTAAGTTACACTTCATTAGCCATTACAAGAAATAAACATTCTTTAATAAACACTTGACACAACCCCCCCCCCTTTCCTCTGTCTTCATTCCCCTTCCCCTCCCCCATTAATCGTATTTATAATTCCCGAACTTTTCGGACTGGACTAAATACTTAATTTAGAAAAGATACCAAAAACAACTGCAATTCAACTGAAATGGCAATGTTCCCAAGACCGTTTTTTGTGTCACTCAATTAACGACCAAATTACGTCGTTCTTTTGAATAAATTAATAAGTACCATTCACGTTTTTATTCAACGTGCCATCTGTTCAAAAGGCTATTTAAAGTTTAAGGACTATAAATAAGATTAGACACAAACGTGGACTTGATGTACCTTTATGTAAATTAAACTAATTACCGTGTTTCTAAAAGCCTTACGGCAAAACGTGACTAAAAGGTAGAGCAAAAGGTAAAGCATAGTAGATTTGGTCAGGAAAGGATAGGGTAAGGTAGGATAAGGCAAGGTAAGGTAGGATGCAGTAGGATGGGGTAGAGTAAAGTAGGGTAAGGTGAGATAAGGTAAGGTAAGATGCAATAGGGTGGGGGTAAGAAAAAGTAGGGCATGATACGGTAGGATAATTTAGGGTAGGGTAAGATACGATAGGGTAAGTACAATAGGGCAGAGTAGAATATAGTAGAAATATTTTAAGTAACCTCTAATTTATCCTGCCACATCCCTACCCTAGTATCTACCTTTTACTCTTTTTTACTTCCCAACTTCTCACTCTTTTTTTCATCCCCCCCCCTCCTCCCTCCTCCTCCTCCTCCTCCTCCCTCCTCCTCCTCCTCCTCCTCCTCCTCCTCCCTCCTCCTCCCTCCCTCCCCTCCTCCTCCCTCCCTCCTCCCCCTCCTCCTCCCTCCCCTCCCCTCCCTCCCTCCTCCCTCCCTCCTCCTCCTCCCTCCTCCCTCCTCCTCCCTCCCTCCTCCTCCTCCCCCTCCCCTCCCCTCCCTCCTCCCTCCTCCTCCCTCCTCCTCCTCCCTCCTCCTCCCTCCCTCCCTCCTCCCCTCCCTCCCTCCTCCTCCTCCCTCCCTCCTCCCTCCTCCCTCCCCCTCCCTCCTCCTCCTCCTCCCTCCTCCTCCTCCTCCTCCCTCCCCCTCCTCCTCCTCCCTCCCTCCTCCCTCCTCCTCCCTCCCCCTCCCTCCTCCCCTCCTCCTCCCCCTCCTCCCTCCCTCCTCCTCCCCCTCCCCTCCCCTCCTCCTCCCTCCTCCCCTCCTCCCCCTCCCCTCCCTCCTCCCCCTCCTCCTCCTCCTCCTCCTCCTCCTCCCCTCCTCCTCCTCCTCCTCCCTCCTCCTCCTCCTCCTCCTCCTCCTCCCTCCTCCTCCTCCTCCTCCTCCTCCTCCTCCTCCTCCTCCCTCCTCCTCCTCCCTCCTCCTCCCTCCTCCTCCTCCTCCTCCTCCTCCTCCTCCTCCTCCTCCCTCCTCCTCCCTCCTCCTCCTCCTCCCTCCTCCTCCTCCTCCTCCTCCTCCTCCTCCTCCTCCTCCTCCTCCTCCTCCTCCTCCTCCTCCTCCTCCTCCTCCTCCTCCTCCTCCTCCTCCTCCTCCTCCTCCTCCTCCTCCTCCTCCTCCTCCTCCTCCTCCTCCTCCTCCTCCTCCCGACTTCATAGTAGCTAGCCTTACCCAAACCCTGCCCTTGTCTTGCCTCTTAATCTTGGCTTCGTTTAACCTCTAGCCCAGTCCTGATTCAATGTTATTCTATTTCTATCCCTATTATCTACTCTAGCTTAAACATAGCCTTAACCTAGCCTTGTACCAGTCCTAATCTAGCCCTATTCTAATATTTGCAGTTATCCATAAATTTTTAAAGCTTACTACTACTTAACCTTACTTAACCCCATAAACCGTGCCTAACCCGCCAAACTGTCACATCAAGTGGTTACTTTGTCTAGCAAAACAGGAATTTTTGTCCATAGATAATAACATTGCTTTTATCTGTATTTTTAGGTATTTGTTTAGACTATTTTTACTAATTTTAAATAGCCTCCTACGTAACAGGTGCCGTTTTAAAAACAGTCTAATCGAGGTAATTTCTAATACAAACAAATACGTTTTTAAAATGATATTTTGGGTTGTTTTGACACGTTTTGGCTTTAAAATGGCAGACTTTACCCTAACCTAGCCTTACCATTGCCCTACCCTAGGCCTACTCTAACCCTAATTCTTATTCTAGCTTTACCTTAGTTTCATTTTGACTCTACTATAGCACTACTCTAGCCCTATCATAGCCATACCCTAGCTTTACGCTTGCCTTACCCTTACTCTTCCCTAGCTCTACCCTCTTCTTATCTTAGCCTTTCTTCAGCCCTACCTAATCCAACCATAAACCTGCTTAGCCTAGCTTTACCCTAGCTCTACTTTAGCCCTACTCTACTCCATAATACGACACACTTTTATGACTAAAGCACTTCCATCTGTTTTTGGCTTATCAAAATTTCGCAAACCCAAACCGACAGCTCATCTTTAAAATGTCATAAATTAGGGCGGATAAACGGCCTATAAAAATAATATGCTTTTGGCATTTTTTAGTTGTTTTTAAAGTAGGAAGAGTAAACAAAAATATTGTAACACGCAAAAATACATAGGATATATATTGTATTACAACAGTGTTTAAAAAATAACTAAAAAATTTTTAAAAAATCATAGTACTTTATTTTCAGATAGACTTAATATGAATGGAGGTTACTAAACCCGTCCTTGGTCCGGCCTTAGTTTTGAAAAAGACCGGGCTGAACCGGCATACGTAAGCCCGTGAGTCAGCTGGGTCTCGCAACGAAAGATTTAGCTAGCAAAAGGTTTAAGACGAATTTGATATCGGGTGTCAAAACAAGAGTTTCTCACAATCCAGAACGACCAGATTTTAAAAATTTTAACGGCCAGTCAAAATGTAAGAGTAAAATACGAGATGATCTCACATTTTTCTCAAATGTTAAAATTTATTTTTGATGTCAAATTAATTTAGTCACAATATACTTGAAAAATCACTTGATCTTCTTGGGTACCACTCTCCACTCGTACAATGGTGTCATTGAATACTTCAAAGGTACGTCAGCATCTATTCTTGGCAAAATAACCAAAGTTTGATTGCTTTCATGAATGAACGGTGTTGTTAGAGCTACTATGAATCGTGCTGAAAGAATAGAAGTTACTTTGCAACCTATGTATTTTTTCAAACATTATTTTATAGTATTTTTTGTATTATTACAGTAGAATAAGAGTTGGCTTATTGATTAAAGATAGGTTTAAAAAAGAAAAAAATTTGAATTATACGTATTTTACCTTGTCCTCACACTAATGTACTAAATTAATTTCAAAAAACCTACGAATTACTAAATACAGTGGAACTCCTGAACATGGTGTTCCAAGAAAAAGGTTAAAAACTACCGAGCTACATTTTTCTTCTCAACAAGCTGCCAAACTGAAAATATTTGTAATTCCGGAGAAAATGGGCATTCTATAAAAAATCATAACGTCCTTAGTATGCACTTAAAAAATCCATCCTTTCTAAAGAACACATTTCAAGTCTTCGAGCGATTCGTTATACAAGAGTTCCACTGTATAAAGTTTGTTACAAATAGAGAAGTTTTTTATATAAGAGTTTGTTATAGAGGAGTTTGTTACAAATGAACTCTATTGTTATTCAAAAAAGTTTCATATGTTATTTAAAAGACATAATTTTAAAAAATTTCATTTTTTTTTACAATTGGCTAAAAACACTTCTCTGGCAAAAAAAACTAAATAAAAAACCTACCAGCATGAAGTAAAACAAATCCACATCCACCGTAAAATATTGTAGCATGAGCTAAAACTTGAAGCCATTTGAGAGAACTGATTGGTAACACAACCATAGATATACAAGTGTAGCCAACAATATACAAGATATTATTTGTTAGCTTTTTGTTCATTTTAAAATTCTTATTTCAGTACTAGTACTATAATTATGTCTTTTTTACAACAGCAAAATTAATTTTTAAAAATAAAATCAAATTTCAAAACAATTTTAAAAATATTTAAAATGACTTTTCGAATTTTATCGCTAAGTCGAATCGCCGAAACTTTAAGAGGTTCTGCCATTTACGGCGATGTCAGTTGCGCAATGTGAATTCGAATAGTGCGGCGCGTTTTTCAACTCGACCGGTCGATAAGTTTGATTGGCGGAAGTTGGGAATCGTTTGATGGGGCCGGATGCAATTATATGTTATGTCATTTTGCAGTACAGAACAGGGCGATACAATAAAATTGGTTCAGTATGTATCATAGTACTAATAGTACTATATTTAGTCTAGTAGTACTAATAGTACTATATTTGGTCTAATAGTACTATAATTGGTCAGTATGTCTTACAGTACCAACAAGTACAGTGCCCACATGGCTCAGTGTCCTCTACTGAGCTTTCAAAAACTGCCACTATTAATGACACTAATAACTCATTTTCATTTTCACTCGTCCTTGACGAAAGTAAAAGTTTTTTTTATGAAAGTTACAGTAAGCGAGACATTATCGGTTCCCATGAAGATGTTTTTTCTCCAAACCCCAAGAGGTGCCATTAATTCCGGCATCAGCCTTGAACGTCGGATTTAAATTGGAAATCATAAAAAGAAGAAAAAACAATAAAATATAACGAATAACGAATAACGACACTATATTACAGTAGAATAAGGTGGTTGAAACAGTGTTATAGTAGAGATAATAATATGTAAAAATTGGTATCTAGCTCTAGCCCTAACACAGAGCCCTAGCCCACTGCCCAGAGCCCTAGCCGAGGGCCTTGGCCCGAAGCCCTAACCCAGAGCTCTAGCCCAGAGCCTTAACACAGCTTTACCTTGCATTGCTCTGACCAACCTGACCCATGTCAACCTAGCTCAGCACAACTTAGCCTATCCCAGCTTAGCCCAGTCCAGCCTAGCCAAGCCCAGCACAGCACAGCACAGCACAGCACAGCACAGCCCAGCCCAGAACAGTCCAGCTCGGCCTGGCCAGCCCAGCCCAGCCCAGCCCAGCCCAGCCCAGCCCAGCCCAGCTCAGCCCAGCTTTAGCTTGCATTGCTCTAACCAGCCCAAATCATGTCAGCCCAGTTCAGCCTAGCTAGACTCAGCTCAGCCCAGCCAAGCTCAACCCAGTTTAACCCAGTTTAGTTCTACACAGCCTAGCCTATCCTACAAGCCTAGCACAGCCTAGCTCAGCTCAGTCTCAGCCCTTCTTTTGTTTTATCTTAGCCTTATCTTAGAGTTCAACTAGTGTTATAAAAGCTCTAACCATACTTTTACACTAGTTATCTATAGCTCTACTTCTACTTTCTTAGGTTACTTAGCTTTTTTTTTGTTTTATGCTAGCTTTATTTACTCTAGCTGTATCCTAGCTCTATTTTACTCCTCTTTCACACCACACTACAATTAATTTATTGTACATATTAAGTTCTTTAGTCCTTAAAAACCTACGTTAATATCTTTTAGTTATTTATTTTAAACCAACTTTGATTTTTAGTTTTTTGGGTTTTAAATATTAAATTTTACTTTGTAATTTTTTTGCTTTGTGTTGTATGTTTCGTATTTTAATACAAACCTTCTTCTTGTCAATAACTTAACATACCTAATGATATAACTTTAAATTATCGTTAAGTAGTACATTCCCCATAACCTTTTGTACCTTTAAACTTGTAATCTCGACCTATCAATTGGCTGCAAACCCACGATCTCTAACCCCGGTCGAGTGAAATTCGTTTTTCTAGAGGGTAGCAAAAAGTTGGAACGGTGTCAGTCGGTGCTAGGGTGCGTGAAGAAAAAAAAGGAAAAGTTTTTCCTGGAGTGATTGGAACGGTGAAGAACGACGGTCTTTACAGCCCTTTTTTGAACGTCTCTCGCTTTTATGGGAGAACGGTGAGAGGAACAGTGAGAACGTTGATCAGTAGCGATAGTTTATTGTTTCCGCTCACAAACAGAGTTTGTTCTAAGTGTCTTCGAGGCACATAACACAACGTTTTACAATCGTTCTGCAACGTGAATTTTGATGACTTTTTGGGCAGTGGTACAGTTTTTACTGAAACTTAAAAAACGTGTTATACTGACGTTTTGTTGCAAGTTTTTAAACCAAAAAAATGACGTTAGAACAGGAGAACAAATTTCAAAAATAGTTTAAACAGAACTCCCAAGCGATGGCCTTGAAATGACCAAAACAAAGCGAGCAACATCATTGGAACGTTGAGAACACACGTGAAGAACGGTGACAAGAACGGTCACTCAAATTGCAAGAAAATTGGAAAAACAAGTTGAGTGTAAAACAAAAATAAACTGATTTACAGTGTAATAATAGTTAAACTGATTAACATTATTTTGCTATTTTTTAATTGAAAAGGTGGGAGAGGTATTGTCTTGTAGTGGCCAAAAAGAAGGGGAAGGGATTGCCCTACCCTACCCTACCCTACCCTACCCTACCCTACCCTACCCTACCCTACCCTACCTTACTTTACCTTACCCTATTTTACGCTGTGGTTTATCAATTCTGTAATCTATTGCTTACTACAATATCAACATGACACTGCAAACTAATTGCAATGTCTTACTATTGTCGTATTTCCCTTAGCATTATCCTTACTTTGTCTTACATTACCCTGTTCTACTCTGTACAACCTTAACTAAATACTTAACTCTTCTCGTTTGTCTATAGTACTTTTGTCAAATGATTTCGGTCTTAGTGTTTTCAAATTTACTGTGCAAACCTACTCAGTATCGTATTTTACAATTCACAATATTTGTCAATTTTTCTTTTCTTTTACCTTTTTTATGACCGCACTTTGAAGAAGGTTACCCTTGTCTATTACCTTCCACAACTAAAGAAACCTTTAATTTCTATTCCGGAGTGTCTTCAAATGAAGTTTTTATAAAAGTACAGACGTTTAAACAATCGCGCGACTCTTGTCGCATCGTTAAAAAAACTTTTTTTTATAAAATAAAATTGCACCGTACGACAATCGGTGCAATTTTATTTTGATTTTCTACTGTTTAGGGTTAGAGCTAAAACTAAAGGTAGAAGTAAAGGTAGAAGTAGAGCCGGAGCCAAAACCAGGGCTAGAACTAGAGCTAGAGCTAGAGCTAGAGCTAGAGCTAGAGCTAGAGCTAGAGCTAGAATTAGAACTAGAGCTTGAGTTAGAGCTAGAGCTACGACTAGGGTTAGACCCAAACCTTTTTCATACTTATGTTAAGCCGTACACTAAATTCTGCGCTTCCTCTCAAGGTAATTCAAGCTTAATATAAGCCTCAAAACCTCAATAGGCACAAGACAACTTAAAAACAATACTATAAAACTTAGGAACACATTACAAAACTATTATATATCAACATTCAAAAAGGCGTCGTGCTACTCCTTCAAACACAACGTCAACTCAGTAGACCAATCAGACGCCACAACAAAAGTGGAAATATTACGCAACGCGGGCTGGAAACCAGCCCGGGCTTGGGCGAAGGCAACTTTTTGCTCTTCTTCCTTCCTTTTTTGGCTTCTGACTTTCACCTGCAAAAAAACCGGCTTTTCGATGACTCCATCAACTTTCACTCCCTCAGGCTGATACAATGTTTCTGTTCATGTTTTGTCAGGGTTTTCTTGTCCTTTTCCACAGTTTTTGGTGGTTATTTCAAGAGGTTTCGAATTTTAAAATTTAGAGTTGTAGAGGGTTTGGGAAGAAGGGATGTTAAAATAAATGTTGGCATAAAAGCTATGTTTAACAAAATTATAAATGTTATGTTTAGTTTTTAAAAAAACGTTTTAACGTGACTAACATTAAAGTTACGTTTATAGCGGGTCCAAAACTAGACAGTTTTTGAAAAAGGGAAAGAAATGAAAAAGCAGGTAATACTTATAACAAACACCCCGATAACAAAACTTTCGTTTAACGAACAAATTTTAAATTCTGTCAATTACAACATAGTCGTTTTTAAACTCTTTTATACCAAAACATCTTTGTGGTAAAAAAAATTAAAATCTTCGAGCGATTTGTTATGATATGCAGGAGGTTCAGTGTTTGTCATACTGGAGAATGTTGGTAAATTTTAAAAAAATGTTATTTATAAGGGGTTGTATAGGATAAAGAAGATTTTCTTACCAATTGGCAAAGCCTTGTTTTTTCAAATTTTTGGTAATTTTTTTATTTTCTTTTCCTCATTTTTTGTAAAAATGTTTCTACTGATTTACTACCTCATTTTTTACTCTATAGAGCTAGATCTAGAGCCAGAGCCAGAGTCAGAACCAGAGCCAGAGCCAGAGTCAGAGCCAGAGCCAGAGCCTGAGCCTAGACTGGAGCTATAGCTAAGGATAGAGCAGGCGATCTTTTATTAGTGAAAATTATTATTTTGTTAGTATTTAAAACGATTTTTTTCAAAAATTTTCATTTTTATAGTACTCGTAAATTTCAATTCTCCCTTAATTTTTAAATGCCAACTCTTTCTACGTTTAATATTCCAACTCCGCAGATAAGTTATTTCCGAGATCCCTACTGTGTTTGTGACCTTGAAGACGCGTAATGACGATTTCACGAGATTCCCAAACATCTCACGCAAATCTCGCCGCCAGATTTTGATTTCTTTTCAACTTTTCTTCGAAATTGACAGCTCAAAAGTGTCTTTTATAGCTTTTGGAGATCTTACTGTAGGAGCGGTGGTCAAACATCAAAAAAAGATATTAGTTTAAACCAAAAGTAGTGGGACACTTTCTAGTTGAAAAACGAATGAAAAGTGTCCCATTACTTTTGGTTCAACCTGGCATTATACAGTGAAATTGTTGTATAACTGGCTCCTTTATAACAAAAAAATTTTTTTTGAAAATTTGTTGTACTAGAGTTATACTCTACTATAATATACAAAAAATTTCAAAATTCTAAAAAAAAAATATTTAATTTTTAAAATTATTGAAATTCTTTGAAATTCCAAAGTCTTTAGAGCATTTAAAACGCCAATCCACACAACTATGTCAATACAATTTGTCTCTTCACAAAAAACTCTTTAAAAAGCATTTAAAATTTTGGAAAAACATTTCGTAAAGTTCAATTGCACCAGACGCATAATAGTAAAAGACCGTAGCGCACCTCACTATTTATGTGATTCATGGCATGGTAGAAAAACAAGACAAGACTCATTCGTTTTTCTAACAACGTTAACAACGCCGCGGGACGTCGCATGAGACGAACGTTCACCGTCGTCGTGATGGCGCAACGCTTTCGCTTTTAATGATGTGCTTTTTGAGAACAGCGGTACTTTAATTAATCCTAAACATGGCAGGGGGAGAGGTAAATTAAGGGGTTTTGAGGAGAGTGGAAGATTGTATAAGTAAACGTGGGCAGGGTACAAAAAGATTGATAAAACAAAGTAAATCATGCTGTTATTAGCCTAAAAAAAGCTAAGACGGTTATATGGCTGGGACTCGGACTAAGAAAGGAATGGCGCTGAGGATTAGGCTAGAGACAGAGTTAAGGCAAGAGCTAGAGTCTAGATCTGGATCTGAGGCTAGAGATGGACCTAAAGCTAGGCTCTCAAACTGGGATCTGAGGCTAGAGCCGAAACTGAGGTCTGGAGCTAAAGATGAAGCTAGAGATGGAGCTGGTGCTAAATTTTGGAACTAAAGTTGGGGCTGGAGCTGGGGCAGGAGATTGGACAGCAACCGGGGCCTGGATTTGGGGTTGAAGCTAGAGTAGAAGCTGGGGTTGACGCCGGAGCTAATGCTGGGGCTGAAGCTGGGCTGGAGCTCTGGACTAAAGCTCTAAGTTAGGGTTCGGGGCTAGAGCTTACAACTCCGAGCACAGTACTTTTTTTTGCTTCTTACTTCTACTACAGTATAATGTTTACTGTAACTTTTAATACAGTAGCTCCTTCCCTCTTACACAACCAAATTTTACAACACTGTCGTCTTTATTTGGAAAAGGGGGATATATTTGTCCGGTCGAAAGTGAAAGCACACACGCGGATCCGCCGCAGGCGATGAGAAAGTTTTATTGCGTTGAATAAAAAAACCTTGCGTCAATGAGGCGTTGCGCAACAGGAGCTGAACCGACGTGAAGGAATCTGTCTTTGAATTCGATTTTCAATGCGTTTTCGCGGTGGAAATTCGTGGGGCAGGGTAAAATTTTTAGTTTGGGGGGTTTTGAGGAAGACTTCTAAAAATTTTTTTTCAAATTTTTAATTTACTGACTTTAAAGTTCGTTTTTACGGTCTAGGCTTATTTTTGAAAATTTTAAAAATATATTTTTTTCTTATTTCCAATTACGCTACGACGTATTTTACACTTCCCAAAACCCAAAAAAGTAATATTCAAAAAACACGCCAAGTACAAGCCTACAAACCATGATTCTTGACTCAAAGCCGATTAGCAGTGAGTGAAAGTCTGAATCCGAGCTGACTTCTGTTCCACTTTTTCCGCTTTCAAACTTTGGTCCAAGGTCGTTTCAAAAATATGTTTTTTAATTAACAAAAAAGGTCAAGGTGAAATAAACAAGTGCGGTAAAAATGACCACAGCCGTTTATCGAAGCCATGGCTTAATAGGCTTGCGGTAATTAGGGCATGGGGTTTGAGTTGGGTGGTTTTTAACTTGGAGTATGTGATTAGTAGCAGGATTTTTAAGGACTCTAGGACCGGCTTCAGTTTTGAGAAAGATTTGGCTTTGGAGCTGGAGCTAGAAAATAGTGAATTTTTGAAAATAAAAAATAAAAATAAAATTTTAGTAACATAGATTTCTAGCATAGCCTACCGCCAAGCCGAAGCTAAATCCGAAGCCAAAAATTTAAAAATTAGGACTCCTGTTTTGTGCTATTTATGGCGGAGGTACTCTATCAAAAGTTTGGTTCTTATCTTTAGCATTTAGACTTCAAATGAGGTCTATTATCAATAGGTTTGGCTTGGTTTTGGTCTAGCACCTGTATGAATATATATTTTTTGTAGTAAGTACCAATATGGCATTACTATAAAAATGTTTTTGGTATTGCTAACATAGAGACACACAGTTTTAACAAATGTTGCGTTTATTTTGCTTTTTATGGCCATTCCGTTTGGCCAGAGCTTTTTCTAGGCCGCCGCTCATTCGCTGTGGACCTTCTTTTGCCTATTGTTTGCTTAATTTCTTGTCTTTTGAAGAAACTGTAAGTATGTAAAGGTTTCTTGTCTCAAAAAGCATTATTTTTATATAAGTTTCTTTAGTCTTACTAGCATCTTTTTAAATTTTAAACTTACATTTACCGTTTTTTTTTATTTTTGGTAAAATACGAGGGTTTTAATGTAGCATATATCACAGTGAAAATAAATGAAATTTTATTTTTTAATTTAGTTTTTTAAAATAGATTTTTTTCGAAAATAATGTAAAAAAACATTCTTGCGTATAAAAGTATTATTTTTTAACTATTTAGATTTAGCTAACTCGTATTTTACATTTCATAAACCACGATTTCAAAAACTCTGTGTTTAGTTAAAACTGCTTTACTGTGACTTTTTACGTTTCGAAAAGCGAATTATACAATAGTAATAATGGAGACAGAAGTGGGAAGAGTGTTTTGAAGAGGTGAAAACCGGGTCAAGGCTAAGATTAAGATCGAGAAAAGAAAGGAAAAATAAAGCCTTGATTGAGTAACATGTTTGGCACTTTGTAAAATACGAGATTTCTAGTTCGCCCGCTAAAATGTTAGCATGGAGCTTAAGACTTAAGTACTGAGAAAGAATGCATAGTACTGATATTGAATTGGTACAGTACAACAAAAAACACTAAGTTTACATTTATATTTAGTACTTTGTAACTTAAAACGTAATAGTACTATCCACAGTACATTCATTTCTAAAACTTTTAGTACTATCTACAGTACCTTCGCTTCTAAACACTGTAGTACCATCTTCAGTACCTTTATTCATAAAGATCTTAGTGCCATCTAGAGTAACTTTACTTCTAAAATGCTTAGTATTATGTACAGTACTTTCATTTTCAAAAGCTTCAGTGCCTACTGTCTACAGTACTTTTATTTATAAAGCCTTTAGTACTATCTACAGTATCTTCATTTATCAAAGCCCATTTCACCTTCATTTCCAAACCTCTACAGGACCTACACTGCTCTATACTATAATACTATTTACACAACTTCAAATATACGTATCATACAGTAGTTTTTTTTATTTGAAACCCCCACCCAGAAACCTGTAAAGTAATAAAAATGATTGTATTAGGCTTTGTGTGAAGATTAACACATCCAAAACAAACGCAAGAAAGATTACGTTTTTTGTTGGCTTTTAAACGTTTCGCTTTCTCACGTCTACTGAAGCCGGCTTGTCTAACGTCGGCTGGTTGCTGGCTTTTCAACGTTCACACATCAGTTTAGTTGAAGAAAGCGCGGTTTTAGCGAGATTTGAAAAGTGAGGGTTTAGAAATATAATTCGAAAATTCAAATTTTCTAAAATGGGTTTTTAAAGGTTAAGGTTTAATTTGGCACAGTGTAAAGTAAGAGTAAGATAGGAGTAGGTTAAAGCTGTAGTTAGGTATTTTTGATAATTAGGGTAGAGTAAAAATCGAAGAAAGCAGGGTGAACCAATTATGCTTAGGGCTAGGATAGAGCTAAAGTAAGGCTAGAGTAGAGCAAAGTTTGTGGTAGAATAGGGCTAGGGTAGGACAAGAATAGAACTAGAGTAAGGCTAGAGCAGGTCTATGATACGATTATGGTATTTTTATGTAAGTTAAAGATAGGGCATAGGGCAAATTTAGAGCTAGGGTAGTGCTAGAGTAAGAGCTAGAGTAGAGCTAGCATAGCACTATTGTAAGGCTAGGATTGAGCTAGGATAGGGTTAGAGTTGAGTTAAGACTAGAACAGGTCTTGAATTTAGTAAGGTTGGTTTACGATAGCTAAAGGCAGGATAAAAATTAGGTAGGGCGTGGTAAAACTATTTTTTAAGTTTGGCAATTTCTCCAAAATTTGATTATAGATTATAACATACCTCTCCACATAAGTAACTTTTTTTAACACGCCTATCCTTTCCTACCCCTCCCTACCCTACCCTTCTCTTCACTTTTTTCTACATTTTTCCTAAAGAATATAAGCCTAAATACCTAAACTAAACATTAATATAAAGTTGTTGATCTTTCCACCCTTACTGTTTGACTTATCACCCCATCTACTCTTCCTAATATCTACCATTTTTCATCAGAACATCGCATTCTCTCATCGTTCCTTACATTATTTTCACTTTTTTACTTTTTCTCTCCATCTCTCTTCACCCTCCTCTAACCCACCCACTCTCGCTTCACGTTTCAGTTCATGAAGCCGTGATTGAATGGAGAAAAAAGAATCGAAACGCTGGAGCCTTGTACTACCTTTCTCCAAAAAATACTTTCTGTAAATTTTCACTTCCGAAAAAGGGGAAAAACGACGAGTTTTAAGTGAATTAATGAGACTGTGTTACGTCAGGAATCAAATGTTTTGTTGGGTTTTGTAACAACCTTTGTGTCGAACTACTGGGGAAATACTGTATAGAATATTGTAACAGGGTGGGGTAGTTGATTTTTGATTAGAGCTGGAGTAAGTGGGTAGAGTTAGACCGTAAGCTTAATTAGAGTTATGGCAAGTTTGATTAGAGTTAAAGTAAGTTTGATTTAAGTTAGCTTAAGTTTGAGAAGAAATAGGGTATGTTTGATTAGGGATAAGGTATATATTTGGCAATTTTTCGAGTTTTAAGGTGTTCTTGACTAATATTGACTTAGTGTTGGCCGCTTTTCTATGCTTTTAAAGCTTTTTTTGAAAAAATCTTACTTTGAAGCTAAAGAATTATTGTATATACTACTGCAAAAAAAATACGAAACTGTATTAAAAACTAGTTTTTGAATAAGTAATGGACAATTTTTTATGTTTCATGTGATTGTTGGTCAACATATTCTGATTTTCGGCCGTTTTTGTGTAACTCAAAGACTGTTGTCGTTAAAATCTCCCAATGAAACTAAGATAATATTGTATAAAATACAGTAAAAGGGTATGATGTTTTATTAAAAACAAAATTAAAACTTTGGTATTGTTGATTTTTCATTTTTCAAAGAGTGTTTTTAAATTTTTTTTTTTAAAATTTGTTTTAGCTTTTTTACTTTATAGATTTGCATATATTAACTAACAAGCTAAATTTCACTTTGCAAAGTATTTTTAAAACTTTTTACTCTTTGCTCGATGTTTACAATGTTTTTCGTGCCATTCGTAGAATAATTACTTTGTTTTCCAAAGGTTTCTTGTTGTTTCATCTAGATTTGGTGTCTTTTTGAATATGACTCTTTAAGAAAAAACATTTTTAGATTGTTATTATCTTATTCTTCCATTTTTAAATTTTTTAAATTATAATTTTGTAAAAAATGCTTGATTTATCGTATTTTAGTCACAAAAATATTAATTATAATATAGTGTCGATATTTTAGTGCATTCTACCTGCCACGTATTTTACATCCAAAATATTTTTTCAAAACTTTTCATTTCGAAATATTTAAATTGGCGGGATTTTCTATCTTTTTGGCTCATCTTTTCCTGTTTTGTTACCTATTTCTTTGGTTTTAAAGCGCTTACGGCTCGTTTACTTTATATGTCTTCTTCTTTTAATACCCTTTATGCCTACTGAACATAATTTTTTATTTTCAAAATTGTCATGACTTTATCAAGCTCTTATAGTGTTACCTAATTTTGTTTTGTTGGGATTTGTAGGTATAGGTATACCCTAGGTATTGGAATAAGTGTAGATAAAGGTATAATAGAAAAGGCTTGAAACATTCTTCTGGTTTTTTTTGGGTATAAATTTTTATTTAGTTTTTAAAGTTGTACAGCTAATCAAATCCCAGAAGTATTTATTTTAAAAAATAATTTTACAATACCGCTATAGCTGCAAGGTAATGAAGAGTGGCAGGGGAAGAAAGCAAAAGAAGGCTCTGCCTAGCCAAAAGCTTTTTTTCATTTTAAGAAAAAAAGTAAACAAAAAAGATTTAAAAAAAATAAAAAATTGCTTTTTCTTGCTCTGGCTAATACAAGCTGGCTGTCTAACTATGAGTCTACATAGTAACTTTGTTTTACTATCACTATAACCAGGCCTTTTATGTCAATCTCTTTCTACCCTACCCTATCTTGCTCCATCCTACCTCTACTCACGTCACCTCTTACCCTGCCTTACCTTTCATTAAGTTAGCCCCTGCTCCTTTTACACCGTCTTACTTTTTAAAGCAACTTTTACTTTTTTACTCTACTTAAGTTAACTTTAACCTTTTTCCCTCTACCTCTACTCTTTAAATCAACCCTTATCTGTTTTACCTTACCCTACTTTTCAAGTCAGCCATATACCCGACCAGTCATTCCATATACCCTACCTTTCCTCCTCTACCTTTTCTACTCCATACTTGACGATCCTAATAGTTCAGCAGCCACTTAAAGCCCATCGGCAAGTTTTGTCCATTCAAAGAGAATCACTTTTGTCCCCACCCGCTCCTGGTCGATGCACTTTTTTCGCAAATCGCGCCCAATCGCCGCCCCTTTTCCTTACCCCCCTCCCCCCCCCCTCTTCTCACCTGGGACCAACAATTTGCCGTCGCATGCGAATTGCCCCCCCCTTTTTCTCCCCCCCCCCTCCTCTGCTAAAAAAGGAAGAAAAAAGGTTGTGAAAAGGAGTGTCCAGGCCCCACCCCCTGCGATCGCTGGTGCTTCGACCATCGAATCTCGAGTCGCGCAGCCGAGGTCATCAGTTTCTGTTTCGGCACAGGTACGCGGCGCATCAAAATCGTCAAAAATATTCAAGGCCTTCTGTAGGCGAAAGTTTTTGGATATTCGAAAGTTTTGACGCTTTTGGGGTTGGGAAACGGCCTTGGCAAGGTCAACCAAGGTTACATCATCTGGTGGTGGGGGGAGGGGGGGATGATAACGGTGAACTACTAAGGGTTCAAGATTTGAAGGTGAAAGTGAGCAAGAGCTTAGGAGCTTCAAAGGTGTAAGGGTTGTTGAGAATATTGTAACAGTAAAGGCAAACTACAGGGTTATATAGTAAAGCTAAATACCTCACGGCCTTCTAGTTTCTGTAAGATAAAAGTCAAAGGCCATACAGATTTGTAAGAGTAAACAACAAGTAATAAGATACCTTTAGGAAAAAGAGTAAAGCCTCAAACTTCTTAGGCTTAACTTTAAAGCTTCAGTCAGCGCTTAGTTTAAAGATATCTTTGAAACAATATTAAGATGCTTTAAGGCTTTATACTAGCAAATGTTATGCTCTAAGGCTCTTAAAGTACTAAACATTATGATTTTTTTAAAAAAAATTTCGATTTTGAAAAAATTTAAAAACTACCTTAACATTCCCTAAGCTACCCATTGCTTTGTCAAGTTTTTTTATAAATTTTTTGAAAAATGCCAATTTTTAACAGGTATTCAAAAATATAGACAAAACTGAGTTTTTATAGTATTCCAGTAAAGGACAAATAAAAATTGAGAACGCGTGAGGACAAGAAGGTTTGTAAACAAGAAGGCGCCAGTAGGCAAACAAAGGCCAGCCAATAGGAATCGGGCCAAGAAATGAATTAGAAAATTAGGTGTTGCGCGCATATTTTAGAATTTTAAAGGTTTTAGGCTTGTTTTTGGATACTATAACAACAGATTTGACTTACTTTTAGGTTTTCTATATGTTGAGTTCTACTATATTTTAATTTTAGGCTTATTTTAGTACTAAAACTTAAAAAAAGAGCTAAAACTCGACCCTAAATTTTCAAAAACCAAAATTTAGGTAGCATATCTCCCCTAAACTTTAAAAACAATAATTTTAAAAGATGTAGTAATAGTACCCAAAACCCAAGCCCAACTTTTAAAACCCATGCCTAGCTTTAAAACTTACGCCCAGCTTCAAAACCCCCACCCAGCTCCACCACATCCCCCCATCGGCTTGACTGAAGTTAGTAGTGCATCAGTCCGCGTTTATATAAAGCAGATCGGCCTTGGACTAACCCTGACCTGGACTTGTCCTTGGGATGTCCTTGGGCAGTGTTACGGGTGTAACATGTCCTTGTAGCTCCCTTTTATGCAACAGCAGCTCGCTCCACATTGTTGTAGTTGTTTTTTGGAAAATTTGTTATATTTTTGGTGTACCTATTGGATTTTCGGGTTTTAGATACAAAAAATGTTGTATAAAGTTTGGATCAGGTGTAGTACTGATAGTAATAAGTTCATTTTTTTAAATTTTGGTTTGAGTTTTTAAATTTCCGATTTTATCGGAGACAGTATGTTATAGTAGATGGGTTAGTATGATGTTTGTTTTTGATATGTTCTGGCTACAAATACAGTCTTAAAAGTGTAAAATACGGACTTCAGATATTTCATGTACATTTTGTATACATTTTTAAATTTAATTGTAAGTTTTTAAAAGTATTTTTTTTTGGGTTTAAAAAAGTTATAGTAGTATGTTTAATCTAAGAGCCGTTTTTGCAACTTTTTGATGATATTTATAGCAGTATTGACACAAAATGTTGCTGATAAGATTTTCGAAATTGTAAGATATATGACAACGTTGTTTTTTAATTTGAAATTTTTTGAAATTTTGAATTTTTGTAATATACGACGTAGTTTAATCCTTGTTATTATCTTTTTTTATTTTTAGGTGAAAACGGATTTTAAATTGTTTAAATTTTGTCTTAAACTACTCTGCTATTTTTTCTTTAAGCATTATTATCTTTACCGTGCTCAGTAAACTTCCGCCGTGCTTAAAAACTCATGATTTGTTCATTCTTTCCCATATTATATCTAACTAACTTGTTCGTTCCAAGTCACCCCAAATCGTGCCAAACCACCCCCAATCGCGCCAAACCACCCCTACCGCTTACCCCTGCCCGTTTATAATCCAAAACCTTCAGTTTGTAACATGAAATTTGAGACATGTCCCAATCAGACTGTTAACCTGCCCAAGTGCATTGACACGTTGTCGTTGGAGTCACCGTCCTGTTCTACTCCATCCTCAGCCTCATCGACCCCAACCAACTTTAAAGGCATTGTCAATTCGAGTTTGATCAACGGCCAAAACATGATGACTTTGATGAATCGACCGGTCGAAAATGCTAGCGGTTACGAGGACAATAAGGAGCCGTGTCCGGTTTGTGGGGACAAAGTTAGTGGATATCACTATGGTTTGTTGACTTGTGAGAGCTGTAAAGTAAGTTTTTGTGGGGTTTTAGGGCTGAATTAGTCTGAGCATGGTACTATATAAAATTAGCTAAAATTTGCGGGTTTTTAATGTTTTGTTTTAGGCTTATCTTTTTTTAAAAACTGATTTTATAAGCCTTTTTTGACCAAAATCAGGCTATTTTTAGTGTTTTTTGGCAAAAAACTGTCATAACTTAATAGACCCTTTTCTAAAATCTTAAAATCCTTTCTAATATAAAAGCCCACAATCTTAGCTACCTTTAAAACTTAAATCAAGCTGTCTTTTTGATCACTCCCACCTACTATAACATCTTCAACCCATGATACCCATGCTTCCAAATCTGATATACCAAGATACGTTATGTTGCGTAACAGCTGTTTACATGCATAAATCATCATGTATGGTTATGCAAGTGACAATAATTGATCTAAGCTATTTGTTTTTGACCTTTAATCGGGTTAAAGTTTGCCATACTGGTTAAACTTTGTCATACAATGGCTTCAAGTCAAAATTTAAGGGATTAGTGGGGGAAAGTTGGTTGTTTAGGTATTTGTTGGGCGTTTGTTTGGAAAATTATTGGTTGAATTTGAAGTTAGGTATCATAGAAACGATTTACTTAATTTGAAATTTAATTTTTTTTGATTTTTCAAAATTTTTAGATTTTTTTAAATTTTAAACTTATTGTCTTCAGGGTTTTTTCAAGCGCACCGTGCAAAACAAGAAGAAGTACCAGTGCAGTGGGGACGAGAAGTGTTTGGTCGATAAAACGTGCCGAAAACGCTGTCCACGGTGCCGTTTCAAGAAGTGCATCGAACGCGGCATGAAGGTCGAAGGTAGGGGGAACTTTACGATTCGGCGATTATCTTGATCGAGAGATTGATTAATTGACAAGAGTTATCGCATTTGCATACAGTAGGCGAAAGGAATTTGCATAGAAAAGGTTTTTGAGATGGAAAACTGAATTAAAAAATTTTTTTAAATCTTAAAAAAAAATTTTTTTACTCCGCTCAAAAATTTTATAATCAACATTTTTATCCACCCCTAAAATTTTCACCCTGCCCAAAATTTTCACCCGCTCTTCAAGCTTTTTAACTTTTACTACCCTCCCCCCCCCCTCCCTCAAAAAAAAATTTACCCCCGCCCATAAAAAATTCAAAAATTTAAATTTTTTCCCACTACCCCCACTCTTTCAAACCCACTTTTTTCTACCAGCCGACGCCGTTTTTTATGTTTTACAACCCATTCTTACCGTAGTGGTGTCGTTAAAGAACGTGGATTGCCACACCAAAACGACACCCTGTTTGGTTTTTTAGGAGTGTTCCTTTTTGGGATCCGACTTTTTTTCGAAATTGATGGGCCGAGTTGGAAAACCGGCTTTTCTTCCGGAAAAACGGTTGGGTATTGTGTTGTACCTTGGGGTGTAGGCTGAGCGAGGGGATTTTTTGAGAAGGGGGGGGTTGGGTAGGATAAAGTAGAGTAGATTGGAGTAGAACGAGTGTATAGCAATTGTAGAACTAGGGCAAGGCTAGGGTAAGTCTAAGATTTAAAAATTTTTTATGATTCACCCCGCCTACTCCACACCCTACCTTTCCTGCCCTACCCAAAGACGTCGCTACAAGTTTTTTCTAGAAGGAAGGGTGTATCCCACCTTATACCGTCTAATATAAACCTAAAAACCGTTTAAAACTTAATTAACTCTCTCTTCTGTCGCACTGTAAATGTCGGAACTGATCGTATATTGCGCAAGACCGTCAGTTATATGTTGGTCCTATCATAAACGATTTATACCCGTCTTTCATGATCCGATCTAACAACATCGAGTCGTATTTTATAATTGTTGTCGTAAAAACAAAAGGCTTTGTGAATGGCAAGGTACTATAATATTTTTAGCAAAAAAAGCAAAAAAAAAGTTTTTTTTATTTTAAAAAAAGTTCAAACAAAAAAAATGAAAATAAAGTGAAAACTTTTAAATTTTGATCATTTTTCAAAGCGAAGTAACTTTCCTTACAAAAAAAATAAAATTTCAAAAAAAAGTAAAAATTTTTGAATTGGCAAAAACTTTCTTTACTTTCTGTACAGTAAAGCAATTTTTGAAAAATTTTGAAACATTATAAAAAACGCCAATAACTTTTTTATGAACAAAACAAAGTTCGTATTTTACCCTGTATTAACGTATTATAAAAGTCTTGTCGTTTTTGACAATGTAAACCGTAATAAAATTAAGAAAAGACTTTTATTCTTTATAACTTGATCAGTGGGCTTTATACATGTACTGTCTATTTTGTACTAAGTTATCACCATAGGCTTCAATGTTATCTGCGTATTTTCCATTTTCTTCTCCATACAGTAACTATAATACTCTCTCTACCTCCTCGCATATTATCTTGTATGCTTCTTCCCCCCCTTATTGTGTACCAAATCCTGCACGGTCTAGTGGATCAGCGCCTCGTAAGCCCTAAAACTCTTTTGTTTCGCCAAAAAATCTTGAACCCAAATTTGAATATAATAAATTAGCATACGATGGAAGGGATTAGGGACGGGTCACAACAGGTCCACGGAATAATTATTCGAGACAAAAGTTTGAGGGGTTTAATTGAACAATAGGGGCTAAATGAGGTTACAATATTAGGCTTGTTGAGCGGTTTGTGTTGGGGGAGGGGGGGAGACGGGGAGGGGGGAGAGAGGGGGGGGAGAGAGGGGGGGGAGAGAGGGAGAGGCGATATGAGAAGAAGGGGAGGAGGTGGGGGAGCTGTATGAGGGGAGAGGAGAAGATAGAGAGAAAAATGAGTAAAGTAAGCACCACATACCCTACCCTACTCTATCTTGCCTTACCCTACTTTTCCCATTTCTACCTTGTCCTACTGTACTTTTCTTTACGCTATCTTTCCTTGCCCTACCCTACCTTACCTTGCTTTACAGTTGTTATTATGACTGTAATCGCGTAAAAAGACTAAAAATACTATAGTACATCAAAGAAAAATTCTTCGAAGTACAGTATAAAAACTAAAAATAAAAAAAAAAGTGTACCACAACTTAAGAAAATTTTAAAAATGAAAAAAAGTAATTTATAAGCATAAAATTCTAAAAGCTTTCTTTAAAATACAGTACTAAAGCCCAAATTCCTCAAAAACTACAATATTCAAACCAAAAACTATTATATAAAATATACAGTATGCAAGACAAAAATACAGTTAGATAAGCCAAACTAAAAATTAATAAACATTAAAACCTAAAACCATGTTCATTTTCAGCCGTTCGAGAAGATCGTATGCGTGGCGGACGAAACAAATTTGGCACGTTCTACAAACAGGACCGTGCTCAACGCCGTGCTCAAGACCCACAACGTACTCAACCCACCCACCAAAACAATTACAACATGTACAATGGCGTGATTGCTGATCAACATGTTTCTAGCAGGTATGAACATGAGAATATTTTTTTGACGTTGGTAGTGTTGGGATGGGTGTAGTTTTATTTTTTAGCATAGGCAGTGTTAAGAGGGATAATTTTTATTTTTTTTTGACATAGGCATGTTAGAAGGGGTTATGTTTGCGTTTTTGGCGTTGGCTGTGTTGGGAGGGGTAATTTTTACTTCTGAAAGTTATCCTCCCCTATAAAACCACAAAAACACATGATCTATCCTCTCTTCAAAATACATCGCCTATCCTCCCTCCCCCACCCATCCTCATCAAAGGCCATTACCTATCTTCCCCCTTCCCCCCCCTCCTCATAAAAATTCGTTACCTATCCCCCCCCCCTCCCCACCCTTCTCATCAAAATCCATTACCTCCGCCTTCATCAAAATCCATTACCCCATGCATTAACACGCCGAGATAATCCTTGCGGTAAACCTCAAAAACCACAGGAACTTTTGTTCCACTTAATATCGCGAGAGATAATTCAGAATCCCTAATTAGCACGCGGGTCTTTTGTAAACTTGAAAGTACCCAAAAGTATCGTATACAATTAGAAAGGGGTACAAAAGAAATAGTTTCGGGGGTGAAGAAGAGTGTGGGGAGGAGAGAGAGAGGTAGAAAATAGTGTTTTAAGGGGTGAGAGGGGTAGAAGGGGCTCATTTTATATAGAGAGAAAGGTAGATAAGATCATTTTATAAGATGAGTAAAGTAGAAAGATACCTTTAAAACGTCATAGAAGGCTACAAAGCTCAAAATGTTACCTAAAAAGTTAAGAAATCACCAAGAAAAAGTACCAAAAACTAACATAAAGACCATTAGAACCTAATACAGAACTGAAAAGACCACGCAATCCCAAGAGACGGTCAGACACATAAAGAACAGGTCAAGTTCGAGAGTGTCGGCACGAGAGCGGCGCCATTCATCGAGAGTGGGGTGCGCGAAAAGCCCAAAACAAAGAGAGGGGAGGGGGGGGAGGGGATCAAAATATGAGTACGGGGATTGTTGGCGGATAAACAATATACCGCCATGTAATTACCATCAAAGAATACTAATACCGGAGTGAAATTAGACCCATCTTATTAGAATAATGAGAGATGGGCCAACTTTTGTGGGTATGGGGAAAGCAGAATTGTTCTAAAAAGAAATGGCAGGAGTTAAAAAAAGGCTATCAAAGGGGCTCAAAACTTTCTGAACAACTTCATAATACAGCTGCAACTCTACGTACCGTATTTTACCAAAACCTTTTCAGCACCCCCGACTGCTACTTTGACTCGCGCCTCAAGACCACCACGTACGATGTGCTCCAAAGCCCCACGTTGTCCTCCACCAACCAGTTCAACGACTTCCGCTACCCACACGATAGTCTGGCCGCAATCTTATCCGAACAAAACCATATGAACATGCGCTTCCAAACCCCAGTGACCTCGGCAATGCTCCAGAATTCAGTAAAATCTGAGCCCTTCGACGGTCCTTACATTGCGAGTGCCTCGGGCCAACTAGCACCACAAGGCAACCCGCTAGCCGCCGAACCGCCTTACCATCTAGTCCACTCGTCCGACTATAGCACAACTGCCGCCGCGGTTGCGGCCGCTTATCATCAGCCAATGTTACCCATGACTTCGCATCAGTTCATCTCCGACACTCAGATGCCGATCTGCGCCTTGCCTTCGGAAGCTGTCATCATTGATGAATATTATAATGGAAACAGTGCCAGAATGTTCCAAGACATGATTACTGCAGTAACACAACACCGTAACGCCATGATAACGTTGAAGAACGCCAAGGAGGCTTCTGACTCGCTAGACTTTTTAATCAAGGCTGTTGATGAACATCTGAGCGAGGTCATCAACTGGACCAACAGCATCAGGAAGTTCAGTAGCAACTCTCACGATGAACAGAAATATTTACTCGGTAATTCGTGGCCATTGATTCACTTGATCAACTTCTCGTACAATTACGTCAATGGCAAAGTTCCAGCCAGCTACAGGTTAAACAGTGGCGCTGAGTAAGTGTTTGCGACATTGTTGCAGATGATTCTTAGAAAATGTGCCTTTTAAGCGCTAAATCAACATTTTTTGGCTAAAGCATTGGAAAAATACAGCTATTTTGACAGATTTTTCATATAAATCGTGAATAACCTACCAGAACAATCAAATAAGTCAATATTAACCATCCAAATTGATCAAAACAATGATATTATCCATGTCAATCACATTTTCTAACTTTTTCTTTTCAGAATCTCAGCCGCCTATCTAGCGCTTCTTGGATTCACTGAACAAGAACATGAATGGAAGGAACTTTGTGAACAGCTGAAACGACTGGATGAGTATGATTATGCTGCTCTCCTGTGTATGGCCCTGTTTTCTCCATCTCAACAGAAAGGTTCAAGCAGTGTGTATTCGGAAATTTACTGTGCTTGGAACGCTTTCAACCATAATCTGCCTCTCAATGAAATCTTCATGCAATTCCAGTGAGTTTTGATCTATTTTACCTTATTTTAGGTTATTTGGCTGATTTTTAAGTTTAAAATTAATTTTTTGGATATTGTAGTAGTTGTATTTATAAGGTTTAGCCTTTAAAATCTCCTCCAGTGTCTCGTCAATCTTTTCGAAACGTTTCAAGCCTCTACACCTTCCACAAACTAAGTTATGAACAATTTTCCATCAACAACCCATGCATTACCTAACTTTTCCCATGTTTTCCCCCTTTTGTCCAAACTTTCTGACCCATACTGCCCCTTTATGACCTGTAATGCTCTTTATTATACGCGTATCCTGAAAAGCCTCTCGAACTTTGCATGCTACCTTCTAATTATGCCCAGATTGAAGCGCGCGCGACCTGTGGATGGCCCGAACAACTCGGTGGGATGCCGAAAGTAAAAGTTTCTCTTTGTTTCCGCTAATTAATAGCCTTTCCCTGGGCTTCTAATTAAGGATTTGGCTTTTCTAAAAGTTTCCACAAAATCACTTCAGATTTGGAGGTTTAGAGAGGTGTTTTATGAGGAAAATCAAAGTTCTGGTGATGTTATTCATGCCTAAAGGTAAAAAACAATAAAATTAAAAGAGTTACCTTAAAGTTTTGATGAAATTGATGTTTATAAAGCTTCATCACACCTTATTTATCCATTTAACGTATGATTTGGTAGAAACTAACGTAAAATTTTGAGATTCATCATGTTCAATATTATCTTTGACATTTGTTCCGTTCATTAACTTTTTAGCTGAAAAACTTAAAAATATGTTTAAAAACCATTAAAAACAACATAAATATATTAATTACCATCTGAAATATCATGTAAACCATAGAAATCTAGAAATATATTACGTATTTTACAATTTTTTCTAACTTTCTTGATTTCAGCTCGTTGGCCGGTCGCGCCCAGCACTTCTTCCTGCTTTCCGCCCAAAACATTACCCTGCCACAGTTGTTGAGCGACATTCTGACACTGCAACAGCCTCAGCAGACCTACTACTATCCCACGATGGCATAAGAACCCGGATCTCATATCGCTTTTGTATATTATTGAGCCAAGAATCAGTTTGACCAAGTATAATATAATTTTGATCAAGTTTAATGTAATTTTTGTAGGAATTTTGTGTTTTTATCGTTTATTCATATCAGAATTTAATTTTGTGTCTTCTTTGATTAATTTTGACATGGTTTTACTTATTTTATTGAGGATTTACCACTGATTTCTTTGATAATACTAGTTTTGTTACCTATATTATCAGAAACATCGTATCTTGTAAATCCTCAAAGTAAAACCCCTTTTACCTTACTATATTTAAATTTTGTCCCTTTTAAAACCTATTTCATTTCATTTTCACTTAATATTGTGTATGAGGACATGTTATTGTACCTATCATGAACGCATTTCAATGGTACTCGTCGTATCGTATCTTGTACTGTAAATTTTACCGAAAAATGGCCAAAAAACCTTGCCCCAAAGATCTTGATCTTGTTGATAATATTATTAATATCAAATTTTTATGTAATTGGACTAATGAAGAAAATAAAAAATTAATATCGTATCTTGTCGTTGTTAACGTCGTATCTTGGGGAATTTACTGTGATGTCGTGAGGTGCTTGGTTTATATTGTAGAATAGGGTATGTATTTTGAAGTTTGACTTATATTCTACTGTAAAGCTAGGTATTTTACGGTGATTTTTACTTTTTCTATAATAATGTCGTATCTTTTCATGGTTAACATCGTATCTTGGGGAATTTACTGTCATATATTGAGGTACTTGGTTTATATTGTAGAATAAGTTGTAGAACGCTATGTATTGATGTATATTCTACGATAATTCAAGGTATTTTACAGTTATTGCATCTTTTCTACAATAATACCGTATTTTTGCTCATTACAATAGTAAAACAACTGCCAATGGGTTGAAATTTTAAATTTTATTATTCAAAGCCAATTTCAATATTAATTAAGCTTGTACATACGATATACACCCGTATACTTTGATATAACCCAATATATATGCACGAAGCTCATGGTACTTGCGCATATTATGGTAATAATACCATGGTAATCTTAAACAAAGACAATATCACAGATGGTAGTGGTGCTAATGGTACTATGTATTACTATTTGGGTAAAATGTTTTTTAATATGGCATTTACAGTAATATTGGTACTATTTTGTATCATAATACTGTAGGGTATGGCAGGTAGGGTAGGGTAAGGTAGGGTAGGGCAAAGTAGAGCAGAGTACGGTAGTTCATAGTACTACTCATATAAACACATTATACCATTAGCATACAAAATTAAAATTTTTGGCAAAGTAAGCAAGATAGTAATGTAATAACTTGTGATAACAGCAGCAGTAATGTACAGAATAGCTGAAACCCGTGATTATTGTTAGAATGAAGACTAGATCTACTACAATATAGTGAAAACATAGTACAGCATAATAACTTTAGATACAAAACACGTTTTTAAATTGTGTCATTATGACGTTTGTTCTTCTTCAAAAAGTATGTCATTATAAGTTTTTTAATGTCATAATACATATTTTAAAACGTCCTGATAATTTCTTTCAATCGTCATGATGACTTTTTTAAATCGTCATGATGACTGCTTTAAATCGGCATAATGACTGCTTTAAACCGACATTATGACTTCTTTAAACCGTCATGATGACTTTTTTAAATCGTAATGATGACAGATTTCTAAAACTTCAAAAATTATTTTTAAGCCAGAAATGTACCACGTATTTTACCAAAGCAGATATTAGATTTGTGAATCGCCCTCCTCCAACTGAATTGGTTCTTCATTCTCAAGCAGGCCCCAATGAGAGGCTGGTCCTAGTTGAGGTAGACATATCTTCTCTCTCTTTTCTCCAACATAAATGTCAGCATTCATATTTGGTTTCTCTTCATTTCGATCAACTTTCATTCCATTTCCATCTACTTTATCATTATCTCCTCCAACCTGTCCTCCATCTTTACTCTCAATCTTTGTCTCGCTATGACAAATCAAATCTACAGTACCAGGCCATGAATCCTGCACGATATTCGTACTGTATTTGGCTGGTTCCGGCTTAGCAGCTTTGGTTCTCATACTGTTACGTAGGGCTGAAAAGGTTCGAGCTGGCGGTCGATTCGGACTTGTTGAGTATCGGTTTGGCACGGTACTCTGTGGCATTGTGTAGCTTTGTGGAATCGCGTTGGTTGTTGTTGCAGTAGAGAAAGGGTGGGCTAGGCTTGTGTTTGGCCAAATTTCTGCGTCTTGTTTGGATTCTGAAGCATTCTGTAGTGTGTTGTAGTTGGACAAGGACTTTTGAGGGGCTATGTTGTTCATGATCGTACTCTGAAGGTCTTTGCCATTATTTAGTAGACTGTTTTGATTAATATTGTTGTTGATAGTATGGCCTTGGTTTGTAGAACAGTATGGATACACTTGATCGTCAGTTTTGTTGTAACCAGCCTTCTGAACCTCATCGTCACCAAATCCGCTCATCGGTCGACTGTCATTTCTGCAGCCGGTCTTCTGAATCTTGTCATCTTTATTCATAACTTTTTCTGGTCTCTCCTCGTTCTCTATGATTTTTTCTTTACTATCACTCCCACTCATCCATCTCTGGCCTATCTCATCGTTCCTAGCGTGCTTTTCCGGACTCCACTTATCAGCCTCTTCATTCCTAACTAACTGAGGTCTTTTTCCTTTGAAATCGAATACAAATCCATTGACAGTAGAGCCTTTGGCCATGTTAAGCCTAGTATTAATGGTCTTTGATTCATTCGACCCATTCGCACTCTTATATCGACCAGATTTTGGCTTGCTCTTCCTACAACATCTAAAGAACTCGGCGAAAGCCAGCCGGAACTGCTCATTCAACATGGTGTACAACAATGGATTCCACACGGTAGATGACATTGATATACAGTGAGTGATGACGCCAAACAAATACTCTTGTTGCGCGACAAGTTGCGGCAACCATTGGTAGTCACGGAGGAAGTTGAACAGCACAGCTGGTGTCCAACAACATAGGAAAACAGCTACCATAGCTATTAACATCCGGTTGGTACGAAGTCGACGCTTTAGGGCAGTCTTACGTTGTTCTGATTGTTGTTGATTAAGTTGTTGATGATCGCTACGGTCTTTTACTAGCATTCCCTGGCCAAGACGGATGGAGATCATCAAGTAACAAAAGGTTATGATGACAAATGGCACTACGAACTGGAGGATGAATACCATAGTGCCTGAAATGAGGTGGTTTAGAAAAAATTTTAAAAAAAATTTTTTTTAGTTTTTGAAAAAGAAAAATTTATCTTTACATTTTAAATTCATTATTTTAATTACTGAAAACCATGTTTTTAAAAACTTTTCATTTTTGACCCGGATTCGAACCCTGGTGGAAAACTGAAATCCACGAGGGTTCGAATCCGCTTGGAAACAAACTCAATTAAATGACATTTTTAAGTTATAAAGACGACATTTTTTACTTTTATGCGATGCAATATTACTATACTCACTTTTAACAATAATTTTTTAATTTTTAAAATTAGTTTGTCTATTAAAAAATGGCAAAAAAGCTTCAAAATTAGCCCAAAACAATCAGTTTTTCGTCAAATTTTTCAATTTTTTAAACTTTTTTTATACTTCCAATCCTTTTTTGACCTCTTCAATCTTCCCAAAGCTTTTATATCCCTATCTCAAGAAAAAAATTATTACTCACCATAAGCCGACCTAGCAAAAGTGTCTTCCTTCCAGTCTTCGGTACAAAACTGACCACAAAAGTCGGCATAATCGACCAGTTTTTGCTTAAATACCATAGGTAGTGATATGCAAATGGCGATAAAACAGTTCACAGCGATCATCCGTAACGCATGCTTGGTTTGTATCGACCGTTTTGTTGGATATATGATCAAAATGAAGCGATCAATCGAGATCGCGGTTAAAGTTAGGGTGCTAAAGCATAGACTGGAACCCTGCAAATGGTACTGATTAGTGTGGTAGTGGGTTTAAAAATGTAAAATACGGCTTGAAGTAATTTTGGTGTAAAATTTGGATTATTTGTAAAATACGACTAATTTTCGGCAGTTATTTGAATTTTTGCGATATTTTTGTCCATTTTACTACAGGCACATTGGCGTTAAAAGTAACGTTTTTTGCCATTTTAAACTAATGCAAAGGTCAAACAAGATCAAAAACAAGTTATAATTGATTAAAATTTAGTATAATGTCAATTTTTAGTTAATTTCAAAATTTTGCAAAAGCTTTGTTTCCAGTCGAAATTTTCGAAATTAAAAAAAATTTCGTGATAAACTTAATATAACTGGGACAAAAATTTATTTTATGAACATTTATGACAGCTTTTATCATTGTTTTAGTCAAAATCAATCGAAAAATGGCAAAAAACGTCATTTTTTCAATAAAAGTATTTAATTGCTCAAAAAAGTTTGAGCCAGTTCAAAGCAAATTTTTGAAAAAAAATGATATTTTTAAACTCTACTCTACCTTAATTTCCTTTACCTTTTAAATCAAATCACAAAAATTTCCCTTACTTGAATAAGAGGTACAAATTTGCATAAAGTCTCGCCGAACAGCCAGATCTTGGTGAAGGCGGAGATGGGCGTGACTGAACCCGAAACCAGCGACGCCACAATATCCGAACAACTCAAGCTAACAATAAACATGTTGCGGACGCTTTGTAGAGACTTGTGTCGTATCACACTTAGTATCACTAAGCCATTGCCCAGCACGCCTAGTCTGAAATGGGGGTGGTAAATGGTAAAATACGGTTCGGCGTAGAAATTTTAGATAGTTCACGTAATTCTGTGCCCTCTCTCAAAAAAATTAATTTTACAGTATATTGTGTTAGGGGGCACATAATTATGTGAACAACCTAACATTTGTCGGATAAGTCAATTTTTGAAAAAAATGCAAAAACTTTCTACACAAAATAAAATTTATTTAAAATTTTTCGAAAAATTGCAAAAACTTTCTTTCCAAGTTAAAAAGATTCAAAAAATACCCTTCCTGAGCTCCATTAGACCTAAAAATAAGCTCATTAGCCCCAGCCCGGCCTTTTATAAGCCTATCCCCATCCCCCCCCCCTCCTCCCCCACCACAAATAGCTTAAATTCAACCCCAACTTACGTGATAATAAGTACGTATAGTACCAAAAACACCAGCATGGTACTGGGCAGCGAGGTGAGATCGCCCTGATTCGTCCATAGAAAAGCCTTGATATCGACACAATCGTCGGCCGCTTTTAACGTGATATTATTCATGGTGTCTGACTCAAAACATGATGTACATATAAACTGAAACCTCAATTATGTACATGTTCGAAGGTATTATGTCAAAAGTAGGCGGAAAACAATTAGCACGATGACATTTCGAGGGAAAACACGTACGATATTATACTTGGTATTTGAGTTTAAAGTCTAGGGGTTTAATATGAGAGGGGGGGGGGAGAGGGTTGAAAGTTTAATATGATGTTTACTGTGTACTATTGAAAGTATATAACAGTGTAAACCTTAATTTTTGTGTTTTGTAAAATACGATTAAACTAACCATACAAAAGTTTTTAGATTGTTGAAATAGACAGCAATAACTTTCTTTACAGATAAAATAGTGACAAAAACTTTCTTTACAACACAAAAAGTACCAAATAAATTCATTAAAATAGCTAACACTAACCCATCGTATAACTTGTTACTCGCAGGCTGCCAAACATAGTATGTATATTACGTTATAAAATCAAAAATTAGCAAAAACTTTCTTTACAAAACAAAAAACGGCAAGAACTTTCTTTACAAAGCAAAAAATAGCAAGACCTTTGTTTACAAAGTTGAAAATGACAAGAACTTTATTTACAAAGGTGACAATGGCAAAAACTTTGTTTACAAAGCATAAAATGGCAAAAACTTTCTTTACAAACATAAAATGACAACAATTTCTTTACAGTACGAATAGTACTAAATAAATTCATTGAACTAGCTAATAGTGATCTATCGTATAACTTGTCACGTGCAGGCTGCAGAACATAAGATGTTTGTTTCTTATCATTTATGAGTAGCAAATAGCAAAAACTGTTTACAAATTTGAAATTTAGTATAAAATATAATTTTTTTAAGTAAAAATCATAAATTTAAAAACAAAGTTACCTAAAATTCGTATCTTCATAAGAAAAACTCAATTTTTCTCAATTTCTGCCATTCTTTTTAATACCCTCCCCAAAAAATCTCACAAATCTTCAAAATTTTAAAAAGCAATCTCATAAAAGTGTAAAAAGCCACCGCCACTAATGTTTATAACAATGTATAATGCGTAGTAAATGATAGACTAATACCTCCATCGCCTTATACGTATATGTCATTAGACATGTAATCCCCAATATGACGTTGCGACGGTATTGCGGTTTATTATACTATGCATGTTTTTGAGAAACCGTGTTCATATTATGGCATGGATTTATGATTTGGCAGGAAGAACTCTGATTACAGAAACAAAAAGAATGTATGTCGTATAACTTGGCCGTCGCAGGCTGCGGAAGGGAAATTTTGAAAAGTTTCGTTTATAAATAGCAAGAACTTTCTTTACAAAACGAAAAATTACAAGAACTTTCTTTAAAAGACAAAAATGGCAAGAACTTTCTTTACAAAACGATAAATGGCAAGAACTTTCTTTAAAAAGTGAAAAATGGCAAGAACTTTCTTTACAAAGTGAAAAATGGCAAGAACTTTCTTTACAAAGCAAAAAATGCAAGAACTTTCTTTACAACCCCCTAAAATATCCAAAAAAGCTTTAACTACACATACTCCAGACCAAAGCATTCAGAAGTAGACGTTATCCAATCTAATAACGTTATACCATGAGTAATAATAACTCCCACTAGAGCTGTCGTCCTATACAAATAAACCCCCTGAAGGCAATGAATTTCCAAAAAAGCTAGCTATTCAACGTTATGTGTTCATAATTGACGTTACTCAGTAAATCATAATGTGTGTTTTGGCGGTTGTCAGTAAAGATTTTTTAAATTCAAAAAAAAATTTTTTTAATTTTAAAAATAAAAAAAATTTTTAAAAAATTTTACAAAAAAGGGAAAAAACTTTTTTACAAAACGAAAACTAGCAAGAACTTTCTTTACAAAACTAAAAATTGCAAGAACTTTCTTTACAGGTCAAAAAATGCCAAGAACTTTCTTTACAAAGCCAAAAATGGCAAAAACTTTCTTTACAGTACAAATAGTACCAAATAAACTCATTGAAATAGTTAATACTGCTCCATCGTATAACTTGTCACGCGCAGACTGCGCAACAAAAAAATTTTTATCTTTTAAAAACTTTTTTTAAAAAGTAAAAAATAGCAAAAACTTTCTTTACAATACAAAAACGAGAATATTTTTCTTCAAAAACCCATAATATGGCGAAAACTTTGTTTTCAAACATTTTTCGACAATTTTACTAAAGCACTATCCCTGTTTTAACATAGCTGCAAATTACTAATACTCTCCGTGCAAACCCCAAAAACAAATGCAAAATGTAAATTTTTATCCAGAAGGATTATCACTCAAACAATATTGCTATAGGTCTCACATAGGTCATAAATGTCACTTCCCAAAGCTCAAACAGCATCATACTCAAAAGGCTTTAAAAACAAACGGAAATTCGAATTCAGTTAGGTTTGAGTGTCAGATAATCACATCAGACTGTTCTTTTCGTATGTGTAATGTAGGATATTACTGATAAGGAACTAGGGTTTACAAAGAATCTTGTGGAAGTGACAATAGAAGTGAGGTAGCGAAATTTATCTTAAAATAGAAATAACTTTCTTTACGAAATAGAGATCCAGATTTTTAATCATAATGAGAAATGGCAAGAGCTTTCTTTACCAAAGAAAAATAAATGCTTTATTGTATAACTTGTTGCCCGCAGACTGCAAAACTTAACATTTGGGCAAATAACTTAGGTATTGGCAAAAACTTTCTTTACAAGACAAAAAATGACAAGAACTTTTTTTACAAACAAAAAAATGGCAAGCTTTCTTTACAATGCAAAAAAGACGGTTGTTGTATAACTTGTACCCCGCAGGTTGCAAAATAAAAAAATTAACAAAATACATATCACCTACAAATGGCAAGAACTTTCTTTACAATCAAAAATCACAACAAATATGTCATATAAAAAATTTTTTTGTGAAAATAAACTTTTTAAAAATGTAATTTTTTTAAAACTTTTTTTTCAAACTGCACGTATCCCCAAAGGAAACTTTTATTTTCAAGCCGTAAAATGGTGCAAAAACAGAAGTATTTCTCTCATATTAAAGTAGTAGTACACAACGTTATATTTACATAAAATCGAAGAAAAAATTATGTCAACAATGAAATCTCGAGGAAATTGGATCCCAATTGAGAAATAAAAGTTCGGAACGGTCGAAAAAAGAAAGTAAAGAAAATTTTTGCCATTTGAAATCTATTTAGCTAAATTTGAAGTTGTGCAGACTGCAAGTGACAAGTTATACAAAAAATATCATTATTTGTTGTGTAAAGAAAGTTCTTGCCATTTTATGAGTTGTAAAGAAAGTTCTTGCCATTTTTTGCTTTGTAAAGACAGTTCTTGCCATTTTATGCGTTGTAAAAAAAGTTCTTGCAATTTTTTTGCTTTGTAAAGAAAGTTCTTGCCATTTTTAACTTGTAAAGAAAGCTCTCGCAAGAATATTCAAACTTTAACATCCAGGGCATGAATTCCCAGACAAAAAGCTTGATGCTTAAAAATGGATTCGAATGCGCGAAAAAATAAAAAATAAAACTGTTAATGGCTGAGTTTACGACTGTGAAGCCCCAAGTAAATACTAAATAGTGCCATAGTCATCCGTACTAAGCTTTGTCAAAAAGTAGTTTAAAATTTGAAATTGGCAATTTTTTCTGTTTTTTAATACATACTTGCACAAGTAAGGTTTCGACCGGTTGCAAGGGCAAGAAAAATACAAATATGCGTCACCATCGTATAACATGTCATCGGCAGGCTGCAAAACTATAATTTCTTTTTTCAAATAACAAGAACTTTCTTTCCAAAACAAAAATGGCAAGAACTTTCTTTACAAAGCATAAAATGTTAAGAACTTTCTTTCCAAAGCAAAAAATGGCATGAACTTTCTTTACAAAGCAAAAAATAGCAACAACTTTCTTTCCAACCCGAAAAACTCAAAAATACAAGATTATAAATTTCAGTATTTAGTTGACAAAACTACTAAAATACCTATACTTTACACTACAAACTAAAAAATATTTGCACAAGAAACGCATTGAAGGTATTTGTTTGTACTAGATAACAAACAACTATAGTAAGTTGAAGGTTTTCAATCATTGTATTATAAGGTTAAAGGCATTAGAGAAACCACAAAAAGTTGTTACAATAGTAATTAGTTATTGTGCTACGTAATACATACGATAGACTTTTTAATACTACAATACACAGTAATGACTTTCGGTTTGAAACCATATAGTAGTACATAGAAAACGGGCACGTGCTAGACAGTACAATACCGTAGTCTAATGTTAGCCCTATCCCAGAGCTCTAGTCTAGAGCCTTAGCCCAAATCCTTAGCCCAGAAGCCTATCCCAGAGCCCTAGCCCAGAGCTCTAGCCCAGAGCCTTAGCTCAGAGCCCTAGCTCAGAGGCCTAGTCCAGAGACTTAGCCCAAATCCCTAGCCCAGAGGCCTATCCCACAGCCCTAGCCCGGAGGCCTATCCCAGAGCCCTAGCTCAGAGCTCTAGCCCAGAGCCCTAGCTCAGAGCCCTAGCTCACGCCCTAGCTCAAAGCCCTAGCTCAGAACTTTAGCCTGTTTTACTTTATTCTAGCGAAAACCACCTAGCCCCAACTTTTACACCAGTTTTAACACTAGCTTCTGCTCTAGTCTTATATGTAGCCTCAGCCCAACCCTTCCCCTAGTCTTATTTTCAGCTGTTGCCGCAGCCCTGGTGTTAGTTTCAGCCTTAGCTCTAATCTTAACTCTAGTCCCAAGCATAGCTTCAGGCTTAGGTCTAACCTTATTGTAACATCTATCTTACCCTTATTTTCTTGTGATACTCTATGTTTAGTTAAAACCGAACACTTATATGTAACTTTATAAAAGTGTAGCTAAATCCTACGCAAAAATACATAAATAAACACGATCGTGTATAAGTGTTGTCTCAAAAAGTTTTTTTTCAAAAAAATTACTTTATATGTTAAGTGCTGAGTGCTCTTAACCCTTAGGAAATAAACAAAAAATTTCAAAAAACACTG